CCGCCACAACGTAAGGGAACTAGGGTCGCGGCATTGGGAAGGTTAAGAGACACTGCTCTATGAGAACTGCCTTGTTATTCTACAACTCTACGATATTCTTACGACCACACCTCGTCGATGTTTTTCAAGTTGTCTTCTTATTGACTGTCTTTCAATTCCGTCGGGACGGCATAACGAGCTACAAACACCCGGTGACATAAAGTGTCACCCGGGCGCAAGTCACAGAAACCCCGTTATATTTAAGGCCCCCAGAGAAAACATAAAATCTGCGTCCCACACAATTATTTTCGTCGCTACTTCATATCTTCCATGAATATGTGTTTTGAGATGGTCTTTGGAGACCCCTGTCAAAGGGTCGTTCGACCCATAGGTTGTGAACCGCTGGCTTAGATGTAAAACAACATGACGTGCCAACAGTCTTTTAAAGAGCGAAAGCAGAAGAGGAGAAGAAGGAGAAGGAGGAGGAAGAGGAAGAAGAAGAAGAAGAAGACGAAGAAGAAGCAGAAGAAGAAGAAGAAGAAGAAGAAGAAGAAGAAGAAGAAGAAGAATATGAAGAAGAAGAAGAAGCAGAAGAAGAAGAAGAAATCCCACACCAGTTAGTTTCTTGTTTCAAAAGCTCACGTGACACTATGTTCAAGCAAGCCAAAATAATATAATATCGACTATAAAGTTGGGAAATGAACAGGCGGACAGACTGGCTGGTTCTGCACAACTTGGTGGAATACTGATACATGATAGGGCAGACGTGGTTAGTGCCTTGTGGGAGAGCTTGTACAGTTTGGAGGAGCAGATGGATCAACAGTCAGATGAGATTGATGCAGGGGGAGTGACAAGAGGTACTGGCAGATGCTCGAGGCTCAGAGTAAAGGCAAGACGGACGTTTAATCAGAATGCTACTGGCACCATTAGTATCGGAACTCTTCGCTGGCTGTTGAAGATAGGGACGGAGCGCTTATGGGAGTGCCCCGAGTGCTGTGATGTCGGTTCTTGAATCAAATCAAATCACTATAATGTTCTTTATAGGAAAGTTAGGAAGAGACGCAGGTTCCCCATCTCGCCTCATAGAACCCACAAATTTTTACCTTTTATTCCCATTTCCACTTTAAACGGCGGTTGGCTCAAATAAAGCTCTGCTGTGATATTTATGACTTTCGGCCCAACACAACCGACTTTAGCAAATCTTTAATTAGCTGCCAGTTGCAAATATGGGTCCCGTCCCCATGTGGAACGAATTTTTTCATATTTTGAAGCCTCATTCTGGTTGTTGCCAGGGGCACTAATATAAGCTAACAACAGAATGGGGTTTCTAGGACCTCTCCACGGGGGATTCTTATCCAAATGGTGGCACTTTGTGTCACCTGGTGTTTATCGTTCAATGTGATGTCCTGGTGGGTTAAAAAGTCATCAACATAGGTCCACCCCCCCCCCCACCAAATGGGGTCCCAGAACCCATACAGGGAAGTCCCCAGTGAAATATAGGTCAACCAACTCACGCCAGAGAGTCCAATCTTTGTCAACTCCCTGCAGCTGCCTCCATGTCTTTTCTGTACCGTTCATTTCAGTTTCAATTTCGTTGATCTTGCTCGTTATTATTTCAGAGGTAAGTTAGTATCCCCCACCCCTACTCAGCAACCCTGTATGTGATGTTCTTATAGACTGCCTTTGTTAAGTTGATGATCTTCCATGGGACCCTTTAGCGACCTATCAATTTCCAGAGATTCCCTATCAATGCTCTCAAACGCCTTTTCATAGTCCACGAATCCATTATCAAGTGGTGAATTAATTTCACTGGTTTTTCTGCTATAATGCGTAATGTAGCTATCTGATCAGTGCCAGATCTGTGTGGCAGGGAGAGATGTGTGTGTGTGTGTGAATGTATGTATGTATGTATGTATGCGGGTGTATTTATTCATGTGAGTGTATATGTGTGATTGTGGGTGTCTGTATATGTGATTGTATGTGTGTGTATGCATGCAAGCATGTGTAGGTGTGTATGTATGGAATGTGTGTGTGCATGTATGTATGTATGTGTTATGTTTGTGCATGTAAGTGTATGTGTTTTATGTTTGTGTATGTATGTAGATGTGTGTATGTAATTATTACATATGTCTGGATATGAGTGTGCATGTATAAGAATGTAAGAGTATGTATACATGTGTGTGTTTGAGTGTGTATGCATTATTACATAATGTATATTTCTTTATTGCATCCTTAACATGCATTATTGATAACAGGCATTGGTACTCTGAAAAATGAGTGCTTAGAAGGGCCGAATGTCAGACAGGCCTGCGTGCCCAATTTGTAACCCTTTGAAAAAAAGTATGTCTGTTCCTTCGTTCATAAAATGTGTTAAAAATATCTTGTATCTCCTTGGGTATGTAAAGAATGAGGACAAGGCTGACAGGAAGTTGCTTTATCAAGCTGCTCAGTCACGGTTCACTGTGATCAATTTCTGGTGGTGAAAGTTGTCCTCATAAAGAAACTATTTTCCATGTCTGCAGGTGTACTGGGCACATAGGGTTAGACCTACAATTTTAGACCAATCATTACTCAGTGGATAATATGCTCAACATCATGCTGGCCATCTTTACTTTCCCTTGGTACCCCTTTGAGGCTGGGTTAACCTGAAGGCCAGGATCATTTCTGAAACATCAGGCTGGCCATCTTTATTTCCCCTTGGTACCCCTTTGAGGCTGGGTCAACCTGAAAGCCAGGATCATTTCTGAAACAGTCTGGCTCCATCAGGACCTGAACCCATGACCTTTGGATCGGCAGGCAGGCATCTAGCCGCTACATAACAGCAGCTCCTATGTAGTCGGTAAGGATTTTAAAAATAAAAAAGGGTGACTCCTGTGGTACTTGCACTCTTATTTCAAATGTTTAGGTACCAGAGTTGAACTGGTAAGAAAAATTATCCTCAAGCGCGTTCTTGGGTCACATTTTTGGAGAGGGGAAAAATTCTTGCCCCTAGCCGTGTTAGTGCGGTCGATAGGAGACTCACTTTCAAATACAGCTGCGACTCGTGCAGCCCACGGTCGGTGTTCGAAACTGGGCAGTTCCGGGGGTTCACCGAGCCTCTAGGAAATGGGGTACCAGAGTTAAAACTCTGGGGTAAATCGAGGAACGTCCCTGTAGCTACGCAGCTGCATGCAGATGGCGACACAGGCGACAGTTTCTTATCAGCTGTCTGTACTGGTGGCAGAGCACTTAAGGTTTATAACCGTGTGCAATGTCGCTGGTTCACATCTCCCGACTTTACCTCAACTCTTCATCCCAGTGACCTAGGGAAAATGCCAATAACCTGTAGGTTTGGAATTTACACCCCTCCCCCACCAACATTCCTGTTTTTAAAAAAACCCATTTTACACAATTAAAAAACAAAAACTCCTGAAAATTTCATTTTCAGCACAAAAAGACACATTGATGAAAAGAACAAAAATGAAAGCAGTAGAAAATCAAGTAGATTACATCTTCCTGAGACTAATTCTTTACCCTGTGACCCGGCCGCTGATGACCATTTTGACTAACTGGAAATGGTGGCATCGTAAATTCTATAAAGCCAGGTTATCACAACTTTCGGTGCTTCTTGAGGCAAGAAGATGTCTTGTTAACCAGCATAAGACTGCCACTTTTAACCACGGGACGCTATGTCGTCGATATGAGTGCCTATAGACTTGTCCAGAGGACTGTGAAGATAACCCAACTGATAACTCATACATCCCCTGTGTAGGTTCCAAGGTCCTATTATGGGGAAAACAAGAACAGACCCACTGCCTCCCCAACAGGCATATGTCTTAGGAGTCTACTAACTGGGGACTTCCTTGGAAGTCGGAGTACATCTGCCCGAGCAGCAAGAAACCAACCAGCTGCACAAATAAGCCAGTTAATTGGATGTACATGCTGAACTCAGGCCTTGGCACAAAGTCCAAGTCCAAACAACCAGGCATTTCTGCTGCAGCTTACAGCCAGTGAACAAAAAAGAAGAAGAACTCATATGCATGTATTGTGTATGTGTCTGTCTCCACCCCCTGCCTCCATCCAGTCATGCACGGGCGCGCGCGCACACACACAATGAAACAAACATGCACACACAAGTAACAAGACAAGTTTGAGAAATGACACAATTAGATCAAAAACATTATATAAAAATGAAACGTTTCACTAAACTGTAATCTCAAACATTTCATTTATAACCCTAAAAACAAACCACCCGGCAATGGAAACTTAGCAGGAAGCTGTTCATAAAAACATCGATAGGAATATTTTGTTAATTTTCTGTTTAGGTGTCAGAACTGTGCCACTTACTCGAGCTATATCTAACAGTAGGTTAATGAAACAGAATAATGCTAGTAGTTGTACAGTACTCAAGTAGCAAGCCTTTACATTAACTATTTCAATGTCCATATTGAAATATCATTATCAACATTATCTGCGCTGCTGATTAGCACAGATAGTCATGTTTTACTATCCCACATGATCACAGATCAGTGCTTTTCTCAATCTCCCCCCCCCCCCCCCCGAACCCATGTGGGGCTCGTTTTATCTCTCTGCCTGCCCTTTGCTTTCTTTCAATCAATCTTGCCAGTTATCACCCTGTTCTCTGTTCAATTCATTTAAAAAAAAAAAAAAAACACACAGATTTAAAAAAAAACAAAAAAGTATGACTTCATTGAGCCTGCTCCTTGGTAAGCATTGAGCCTAATTGTTGAGTCCATTCACTATCATAGCATATTAAAATATATCAATGGTCTACGTCTAATTTCTCTAATCAGTTAATGCTTTTGCTTTTCATCCATCTCGAGTGTGGAGGGACTGTCTCATCTTTTTTTGGGCTATAAGTTGTGAAAGCATGACCTTTCTTGCCATCCAAAAAAAAAAAAAAAAAAAAGAGTTGTACATGACTGTTATTCTCTTAGTTATTAGTATCACATGACTTCTATATTGGCGAAAAACCTGGAACATGTTTCTAGATTTCTTGCAACAGTACAATCATTTTACAATCATTTCTTGTGCTTGTGAATGTTTGGAGCTGCTACTTTCACCTTACCAGGAACATTTCTTGCCAGATCAACATCCTGAGAATGAAATTAACAAAAAATAATGTGAGTAGACTGACTATGAAAGACGTAACAATAACAACAAAGTCACAATGTTCAACTCTTCATGGGCTAAACTTATGTACCCTATAACCAATAAATGCAGTGTCATACACTGATCTTAATAAAGTATGAAACACAATCCCACATTCCGTGCTAATTAGTACACATCATAAAGAACAGTCAATCCCAAATCTCATGTTGATTACCACACATGAAGAATAGTCAATACCACATGTCATGCTGCTCTGTACACATAAAGAACAGGCAATCCTAAATCATATGGTAATTTGTTTTAACTCATTGAGTCCCAGAGGGTTTAGCATCACAGGTCCAGGGGGTATTAAAGTAAGTAATAAATTCGGCGAATCATGCATTCATTGGGACTAAAAGAGTTAATAAAGAATAGGCAGTGCCACATCTCATGCTGGTTAGTACCCTGAAAAATAGTCAATCCCACATCTCATGGTGATTAGTACACATGAACAACAGTCAATCCCAAGCTCATGATGATTACTACAAATGAAAAACAGTCAATCTCACATCTCATGATGATTACTACAAATGAAGAACAGTCAATCTCACATCTCATGATGATTACTACAAATGAAGAACAGTCAATCTCACATCTCATGATGATTACTACACATGAAGAACAGTCAATCCAATATCTCATGCTGGTTAGTACACATGAAGAACAGTCAGTCCCACTTTTCATGGTGATTAGTACAAATGAAGAACAGTCAATCCCACAGCTCATGCTGATTACTAAATATGAAGAACAGTCAACCTGACATCTCATGGTGATTAGTACAAATGAATAACAGTCAATTCCACATCTCATATTGGTTTGTAAACAGGGTGAACAGCTAAACACACATGGTTTTCTGCTAAAGAATGAATTAGGTAAGAAGTATGGGTCTAAAATTCAAAAGACTGCTTTTGTATCTTTCTTTCTCCATTGGTTTTCTGGGGCCCCAATTTTGTAAGGAGAAAAAATGCACCCACTGCCTCCCTAGCAAGCATGTCAAAAGAGTCAACTAATTAGGAGCGTTTTCTTTGAAGTCAGTGCAAGGCAAGGAATCAACAGTGTGCTTACTATTAAGCCAGGTCTGTAAAATGGATGTGGATGCAAAATTCAAGTTCTGAAACAATACTAAAGCCCAGAAGTAGTTAAACAAACATAAGTTTACAGCTGGTGAACGTGAAGAAGAGTTCTAGTAGGTAATTTAATAAGCTCTTACTTATTTTTTCTTTATCTTCTGCCATTTATCAACAATGGAGCATAAGTCCTCAACCAAAATATTCTATCCTTTGACCTTTCCTGCAGCTCCCTCCATATTATTTATCTTTGTCCCTAATTCTCATCTCCATCGTTCTTTGGGTCTCCTTCTTTCTCTTCTGCCCCGTTGGATCCAGTGAAAGGACATTCTAGTTGTACTGTCATCACTGAATTCCTCGATATCCTAAAAATTTATAATTGTTATCACATTGCCCCAATGATTTCTTTGCTAAGTGTCCTGTCAGAAAACGAACTTTGTGACTATAATCTTGTTATAAGGGCCTCATATCCAATAAACATGATAAATTTGCTTACTTTCTGAATTTTCAAAAGATCTTTTTCCCGACTTGTTGCTGTCTTTTCATGGACAAACATGTTGAGAGCAGTTTTCACAGCTGGAAGACAGAGAAACAAAATTAGAACACAGACTAAGGAATCTAACTAGTGACCTCTATCAACAAGACTGCTGGGAATATGAGTTCATTACAGCAAACAATTGCACATTCAAAATATAAATACAGCCACTGAAATGTGTATGCATCTCTCCACAAACCTGTTCTTTTATTATCAACAACTGCTCTGCTGACTGGGCTGGGTGATCATGCCACTCCAAAAATTGTGGTTACTAAAGCTAGGTCTCTGTATTCTTTCTGCCATCATCTATCTTTTCTTTGATTGATCAAGCCATTACAATAGGAACAAGCTAACCTCAGGCAAGCAAGCAAGAGGTAGACAGTGATACAAGAGTAAGGAACCCATAAAGAGATGGACATATGGCAAGCAGTCTGAGAGAGTGCACAACTAGCGCAAGAGACAGGGATGTTGAAACCTGGACAGAGAGGAAACTCAAGCTGCTACCCCTTCTCCCAAAGAAAATTAGCTAGCGTGTTAAATGCAACAACAACACAGAAAAAAACTATGTACATAGAAGTTTTTTGTTGTTGTCTTTGTTTACACATTTTATATTATTTCAAATATATTATTACATTTATTTGCCATTCTGCACACAATAATGATTACTGCACACTCAAACATGGCTTAGGTCCCTTGAACCTCCCCTCCCCCAGAAAATTATAAAGAAACTTCCTTCCCTCCCCCCACAATTTCTGTTTGTGTATGTTGGCACCTCTGACAAGAGATGGAGATCAGTTTAAGTCATCCTTCACTGTGGAGTTAGTCATCCTTCACTGTGGAGTTAGTCTCCTTCACTGTGGAGTTAGTCATCCTTCACTGTGGAGTTAGTCATCCTTCACTGTGGAGTTAGTCATCCTTTACTGTGGAGTTAGTCATGCTTCACTGTGGAGTTAGTCATCCTTCACTGTGGAGTTAGTCATCTTTCACTGTGGAGTTAGTCATCCTTCACTGTGGAGTTAGTCATCCTTCACTGCGGAGTTAGTCATCCTTTACTGTGGAGTTAGCCATCCTTCACTGTGGAGTTAGTCATCCTTCATGGTAGAGTTAGTCATCCTTTACTGTGGAGTTAGTCATCCTTCACTGTGGAGTTAGTCATCCTTCACTGTGGAGTTAGTCATCCTTCACTGTGGAGTTAGTCATCCTTCACTGTGGAGTTAGTCATCCTTTACTGTGGAGTTAGTCATCCTTCACTGTGGAGTTAGTCATCCTTTACTGTGGAGTTAGTCATCCTTCATTGTGGAGTTAGTCATCCTTCACTGTGGAGTTAGTCATCCTTCATTGTGGAGTTAGTCATCCTTTACTGCGGAGTTAGTCATCCTTCACTGTGGAGTTAGCCATCCTTCACTGTGGAGTTAGTCATCCTTCACTGTAGAGTTAGTCATCCTTCATTGTGGAGTTAGTCATCCTTTACTGCGGAGTTAGTCATCCTTCACTGTGGAGTTAGCCATCCTTCACTGTGGAGTTAGCCATCCTTCACTGTAGAGTTAGTCATCCTTCATTGTGGAGTTAGTCATCCTTTACTGCGGAGTTAGTCATCCTTCACTGTGGAGTTAGTCATCCTTCACTGTGGAGTTAGCCATCCTTCACTGTGGAGTTAGTCATCCTTCACTGTGGAGTTAGTCATCCTTCACTGTGGAGTTGGTCATCCTTCACTGTGGAGTTAGTCATCCTTCACTGTGGAGTTAGTCATCCTTAATTGTGGAGTTAGTCATCCTTTACTGCGGAGTTAGCCATCCTTCACTGTGGAGTTAGCCATCCTTCACTGTGGAGTTAGTCATCCTTCACTGTGGAGTTAGTCATCCTTCACTGTGGAGTTGGTCATCCTTCATTGTGGAGTTAGTCATCCTTCACTGTGGAGTTAGTCATCCTTCACTGTGGAGTTGGTGCTCAGCCCAGCTCTTTCCATCCTTGTAAACAATTATACAAAAAGATTTATTCTGAAGCTACTTAAAGTTCTTCATGAGGGAAAGCTAACAGATATATTTGAAAAAAATCCTGCCATCTCCTTGTGAGATGTAATTTTTCTCTATTTTAAAGCCCCACCCTGGCTCTTGCTAGGGGCCGCGATATAGCCCAACCATAAATATGGTCTAATGGCTGAACCCGGTTTCTGGTACCTCTCCACGGGTGATCCTCATCCAGATGGTGGCACTTTGTGTCATCGGGTGTTTATCGCTTGTGTGATGTCCTGGTGGGGTAAAAATCTACTACTACTATATATTTAAAATAAAAACAGGTGTGCGAGAGGAATGTCTCCTGTCACCTCTCCTATTTTTACTCTGGATTGTGATGACAGTATCAGCTAACACCAGAAATGGAATTCAGTGGACCTCTACAAAACAGCTTGATGATCTAGTCTTCGCTGATGATACTTAACAGCTCAATGAAGAGAAATAATGCATTTATTACCTTTTCCTTTCTTTCCAGAGCCGGGCATAAGTTTCACTTTGTACCTGGCAGAAAACAATTGTCAATTATAGAGTTAGCCATTTTACTACTCATGTGTGGGGGAGAAAAAGGGTGGGGCGGGGGTGGTAACAGTAAGACAAGTAAGACACCTACCTGCCACTACATTTGTCATCTATGACTCCATATAAAGGAGTTACTCTCAGTCTAGACAGCCAGAGTAACCACCAATGAATGTAATGAAATAGCTAATGAAAATATAACCTTTAATACAACTAAAAGAAGGAGACAAACAGTGTTCTTTAGTTATGCGATAAATAGAGATTCATGCTTAAGTTAATTTTACTGGTTGCTTTTTGTCCATATCAATATCCTACCACACTGATCCGACCAATTCGTGCCTCATCCTTTGATACTGCAGCCATCTCAATGTCTTTGTACTCATAGTACCCAGTGGGAGTTGACTGGCATATCTCCTTTCTGTGCCCCGCAACTGGTTTCTGCATGTCTGTCCTTGTTTAATGCCTATTTCCTAGATGTTCACAGTCTCCCGACTCATTTGTCTCAACGTCCCTGGAAAGCAGCCCATACAGTATGTCTTCTCTGTGCATACTACTTCCTTCACAAACTACTGTAGACATGACCAGCCAGTCTGTCAGCTCTTTTATTTCCTTTCACACCCGGTGTATCCAGGTGATGTCCCGCAAATTTGGATATTTTGGTCTCTGATATATTTATTAGTTTTGTGTTTTAAATAACTAATTCCTAAAATGCGTCTGAAGAATTTACATTCAAAAAGCTGAATTCTCCTTTCCATTTCCACAGTAAGAGTCCAGCTCTCACATCCGTATAAGAAAATAGACAATACCAGTGATTTGTAAATACTGACCTTGACTGCAATGCTGATTTTGCTCTTCCACATCGTATTCAGCTGCGACATTGCTTGTAGTAAAGAATAATTCACATTTCATGGAAACAAAACCAGTGAAATACAGAGGTTCTTAAAAGACTGGCAGTGAAAAGAGAGTTGTTAAAAGAAATTATAAAAGAGGTAAGCGAAATATTTCAGCCATATTAAAACAACATTTAAATTTAAAAAAACATACTGAAGGGAAAAGTTGAAGGCAGGCAAGCATGAGGTAGACAGTGATATAAATGGGAGGATAACATGAAGAAATGGGTGAACAGCATGGATGGATGTACAAGTACAAACAGAGCAAGAGACACAGAGTTTGTTGAATACCCATTGCAGCCAACCTAATTATGGAGACAAACTCGGACAGACTGATTTATGTATATGGTCGAGTGCAATGCAAACAAACAGCTGAGGGAGAAATAAATGTTTTCCAATCATCACATACTTGTAGTTGAGTAAGGCACTGTATGGAGCACACACAGGAACAGCAAACAAAATCTCATCCTCAGGTAATGGAATACCAGTCAAAGAGTTAAGCACTGTTTCATCCTGATTGGGAAAGAAAAGCAGGAGTTAATAGAATGTAATAAAATATGATTTAAAAAAAATTTGTAAAAACCATACTTACTGCACATCCTTCTGCTGATTACAATTATACTTTTCTTTGAGGTAATTAACATGTGAATAGAAATATGCGTTTAGGTACTTTAACAAGCCCTCTCACTCGAGGAATGCCTATGTTTGTCAGTCTTCCAGTCACGGAAGTGTCATTTCTTCAGCTCACCTGTGTGAGCTGTGGTATGGTTTATGAAACTTCCTTTTAATTTAACAAGTGAAAACTGGACTGTAGATTACCATTCAATCCACAACAATGCATCACCAATCAACAGGTCCTTTACAGAATGTCACACTCGTCACAGCACGCCTGAAAGTCTTTCTTTCTCTACCAATTCCCCAGCCTTTCATAATAAATGCATATTCAATGTCTTGTATCTACATTTGCAGAGGTCTGCCTCTGCCCTGTTTTCCAGAAACTGTACAATCCATCTCTGTTCTCTCCAAGCCACCATGCCCTTTAACATGGCCAAAGTACATCCGCTTTCATGACAGGATGCTGTTTATGAGCCAATTCTCCTCAATGCTCAGATCAGGTAGGATATCTGTGTTTTATCTTCTTCCTGGTTTAAACTATAAGCCCTGACATCATTTTTGTATATACATAAATGATTAATCTCATCCGTTGTTTTATGGTCCACAAAACAACATAGCTAGCTTGGTTAATTCAAACTGTATAATTGAATTAATCTTTTGATCCATCTCCACTAACAATTATTTTTAGCATTCATCTTGAAAGAAGCTTTGGCATGTTTTAATGTGTTTTACAGCTAGGCTGAGACATCTGATGCAGCAAACTATTAACTATTTGTTTATTACAATACGCTGGTTAACGGGTGGTAGGTCTAAACCCCCCCCCCCCCCCCCCCCCCCTCACAATGGGGCCCTGGAACCCACATAGTGAACTAAACACTGTGAATGTGAAAATGTGTTATTAAGTTTACAGAACATGTAAGATGTATTATACTGTGCTTACACTTCCAGTATTGGCTTCCTCATCCTTCTCTCCATCAGAATCAGGGTCCTGGAAAAGATAAAGGAACATACAATTATTGAACAAATATGCACAAAATGAGAATAAAGTTAGGACACAATTAATACAATCTTTCGTTGTCAGTTGAAATGAGAAATGGTGGGAATCATGGACAGTTGGAAGATGAATGACAATTTATTTGGAAGCGTCAGAGGTGTAGTTTTATGGACAAATGATGAGAATACCCTGGACAGATAACAAGAAAAACAAAGATGTCCTAAAAGAAACTGACTCACAAAGAAAAGTGATTGCCCACATCAGATGGGAACAATCGACATGTCTTGATCATGTCATAAGAAGGAGAAAACTTTAACATATTGTGGGGGGTGGAGAAGTTGGAGGGGAAAAGAGGCAGAGAGAGACAGAATGCTGGAGGATCTGACATCATGGCATGGGAGATAATCTGTGTCAGAACTGACTGAAAGTGCACGAGACAGAAGGTTGTGGACAGACATGACTACTACTGCATGGACTATAAGAAGATATTTAACAAAACAAGTGAGAGAGAAAAAAGCCAATCAGAGAGATTAACAGAGGCAGTAATATCTGCAGCAATGAACCTCAAGAGCTGGGAATGTTGAAGAAAAAAGATATTTAGTATTTTAGTACAAGCCTGTAACTGTTTAAAGTCTTCATACCACGACAAGTTCTCGATTGAGGCTTAGGTCTAAAGGAACAAAATAAAGTAAAACAACACTGTGGGACAGAAGCAATAAAAAAATATAATTATCTATACTATTGTTAGACTCTTGGTGAAAGAAGAGTGTCACAGAAATGTTAGTCTATGGAGTAACTAAGGAGTGTACAGTGAGCTGCTTGGTATGGAAAGGGTTGAGAAAATAAACATCAAGATTTATTTATATATATTTGCAGTCTCAGTGGCATAGGTGTCACCGTGCCTGATTACCAAGAGAGTGGCCAGGGTTCAATTCCCACAAGTGGTAGGAGTAACTTTCTAAAATGTTCTAGAAAGAAATGTCACTGGGGAAGGAACTAGTTATTCCCACCTCAGATGTTATTGTTGGTCAAGTACAGGCCCCTTTTCTGCGCCTTCAGGCATATTGGGCATATAGGGCTAGACCTAAATTTTATAGACCATACGGGACTTGATGGGTGATGTGGTCAGCAGCACCCCAGCCACCTTTACTTCCCAAGACTTTAACTGGTACCCGTTTAAGGTTGGTCGACCTGGGAGTCGAGATCATTTTTAAAGTAAAGTCTGTCTCTTTTGATCCACAGGTGAGCATATAGCCGCTACACCACGGTGGCTCCCTATTACTGATGGAAGGGATAATTTTATCCAGAAGTCCCACCTCAAGGAAATAAAACAGCTGACAGATTGGCCGTGTCTGTAGTGGTTGGTGGAGGAAAAAATATGGACAGGGCAGACATACTGAACACACTGTTTTCTAGAGACTTTGATATAAAGTCAATGAACTGCCTGTTGGACAGGACAGACATGGACGAGATGGACAAAAAGTATGAGGCAGATCAACAATATGGAAAGATAGCCTCAGAGAAACTCAACAGCATGATATGTCTATGGTCAAGATGGCCAGAACAACAAAAAGTAGAACATTATATCTCCCTTGACACCTGACATGGTAAAAGATGAGGTGAAGAAGAAGAAGAAGAAGAAGATGTTCAACTCATAAACTGTAATGCGGAAGACACAAAATGTGTTTACTTGACCATTCCTTAACAGAAACTACAGTGGAGGAGAAGCAATATCCATTTCCTTACATAAGTCACTTATCCATATATATATATATATATATATATATATATATATAATCTTTCTTGCAGCGATCTCTCAGATGTGGCAAATTTCTGTTCTGAGGAATTAGTTAATTATCCCCGGAAATGTTTCTTGCTTAAATTCTTATATGGCTAAGAAGAACTTCTGATAAGTAGAACCACTTCATGGGTCCTTGGAGTGTTCACCTTATCTGTTCCCCACTGTATTCATATTTTAATCTAACACTCTGGCAATAATTACCTGTTTGTGTGTTGCTGCAGAGATGGTCTCCTCACCTGGTTCATTTGCTGCAAACACATAAATAAAAACTTTACTACATAGACTAAACATTGTAAAAAAAAAAACCATTTCAATGCTATCACAATATGTTGCAGACATAATGCTAGGTCCATGTTATTCATGACCAACTGATAGGTAAAGATCAATGTAGGCAGAACTCCACTAGACATTTTATAACTTAGGGCAGTGGTCTCCAAACTGTGAGGGAATAAGGAAGTTTCAAGGAGGATGTCTCAAGCAATTTCAAAACTGACTGCATTTGTACTTGTTAAAAATCAGGATTTTCAGATTTCATAGTCAAGAAAACAAAATAGGGATGTCAGCTTGAGGAGAGTGATCTCTGTTGTGCCTTGTCAAATATTAGAGTATAAAAAAAAAAGCTACCATCAAGATAAAACAGTGTCAACCATCACACTGATATTTGGTACTAAATTACCAGCTGCTGGTGACTGTTCCCTTTCTTGCCCATTTGTTTGCACCCGCCAGGAAACTGATACCAAAGACTGGTACCAGGCTGTAGGCCATAAACTAAAAAACATAGAACTAAAGATCTCTCTTATGCCCTTCACATGCCTGGATGAACCATATGAAATATAATTATATGGTAATTAAAAAAAAAAAAAAAACTATCCTTTGAAGTAGAATAAAAAAAAAAAAAAAAAAAAACTTCCCTTTGAAGTAGGATTTAACACCTGTCCGTCATAAACAACAAAATACATAATATATCTGGCATACATGTGAGTGTGCACACATAAATATATGTATAAAAATACTGTGCAGACTGCTTAAGGCGATCGTTTCGATGTGGCAGATCTCTGTTGTAAAGAACATTTTGTTTATCACCCACAAATTATTCTTGCTTGAATTCTTATTTGGATACAAGGAAATTCTAATAAGAAGGAACATTTCTTGGCTCACAGTGAGTTCTCCTCATCAGGTATGCACTATACTTAAAATCACAGCCATGGTGGAGCAGCGACAAAATAACTGCCTGCTGGCCCAAAGATACTGAGTTTGAACCAACATCAAAGCGGATTAGTAGCAGATCTTCCTTGATGTTCAGTTCTTTCAAGATGTCAGTATTTCTCCTCTTCTCTGTTCAAGATATTGAGAATCTTTCTATAGCATTTCATATTCACATCAGATTGTTCAAACTTATTGTAAAATACTACCTATTGTTATCTTGTCTAGTTCATCAGCCACATCTAAATCTGGCACATGATCATGACTTTCTGGTGTTTTCTGAGCATGATTTTTCTGAGCAGCAGCCTTTGGACCTTGATTAGGCTTCTGCTGTTTTGGATATTCATGACCTTTGCCCTTTTTGCCTTTGGCTTTTTTATCATCTTTTTGTGGTCCTGCAGACTGAAGCGAAAAAAAAAAAAATTATGAAACAAACCTCAGAAGACTTTAGAATCAATCAAGTGTTTGTTAAAATTATGTTGACCTCCTTTACTAATTTCATCAAGCAAATCATAAGAAAGGGGTCCCCGTGTGGGTTCCAGGGCCCTATTATAGGTAAAACAAGAATAGACCCACCGCCTATCCAAAAGCATATCGTAAGAGTCAACTAATTGGGAGCTTCCTTTGAAGTCAGAGTGCATCTGCCTGAGAGGCAAGGAACGAACAGTCTGCACACCACTCAGTCAAATCTATCAAACGGATGCACACGCAACACTCAGGTTGTGAAACAGAAGTGCAGTCCAGAAGTGGATGAACAACCAAAACCTTCCGCCGGAGTTTACAGCCGGTAAACGCAAAGAAGAAGAAGATAAGGGGAAAAGTAAAGTCCGCTGCGCCAACAGTAAAACTTGGGGAGATTAGAGGTGAAAGGTGACCAAGAGGGAAGATACTAGACAGTTTGGTTTCACAGCATGAAAGAACATCTGTAACAGAAAAATAACCAGTAAGTTTTATAATATCTGGTGCAGAAAAATTATCTTTTACATATTGCCCTATAATATAAGAGTTTAACCCTTTTGCATCAAGAAGCTGTAAAACCAACACTTCTGGTCAGGTCAATATTTTGTATAAAAAATAAAAATATGTAACTTTTCTGACTTGTCTACAGTGACTTGTTTATGGATCACACAGTTAATGCTTTTGGCTGTTTTCACGCCTATGTTAAATGTTTTGGAGGTCCGGATATGAATACATTAACCAAAAATAAGGGGGGGGGGGGGGGGGGGGAGGAAAAGAGGATTAAAATCCATGGGTAAACAACATCTGGATGATTCAGTTTCACATGAAAGTAGATGCTTACATACACCCTACCTTTTTCCGTCCAACATATAAAATTAAAGACAGATTTAACAAATTCGTCTAGGCAATGAAAAGTGTCTGAAAGGAAACATAATAGCTTCCTTCAGCAATTGTTGATTTTCTTGATGGACCCATAGAGCTTGTCACTCAATGCCATAACACCATGACCTGCATAAGAAGTCCTTAAACTTCAAATTTCTGATTTTCTTGATGGATCCTTAGAGCTTGTGTCACCCAAAGCCATAACCTGCATAAGAGGTCCTTAAACTTTAAATACCAATGGGAATACTTGGGACAAGATAACCATTACAACTGTATATGTCAATGTGTATTAATACTTCATTATCATGTTAGACTTTTAAAACCCATACAAAAGGGAAAGGTCAAGGGCAAGACAGCAAAAGGTAGACAATGGTACAAGTGAATGGACAACATCAAGAGTTGGACAAACAGCAGTCTGAGAGAATGTACAACGAAGACACAAGACTAAGCGTGTTGGAGATCCATTGCAATCAACCATCACTGGTTAATTGTTGATGATCATGCTGAAAGTGCAATATATTCAATATCTAAGTAAAATTTACATTTTAAAATTACTACATCATAATCACATGCCTCAGAAGAGATGGCTTAGGTCCACGTCTCTTCACAGATAAAAGTATGTGGTGCTCCGCATCAATTCCATTGCCACTATTCCTCTATATTGCCATCTTAAACAATCTACCATCATTTCACTCAGACTGCTTCTGTCTCATCTGTTGCCGATCTGTCCAGCCATCACTATGTTCTCAAATACCTCTCATCTTATCACATTTGAAAAGTCTTTTTCTACAATTGAGTTACATTTTTTTAACTTTTAATAGCTTTTTTCTGTACGCAATAAATTAGTACCTACCCGGTAAACACTAAAATGACAATAAAATGACACAGAAATAAATCATAAAGACTTAAGCCGCATAAAACAGAAGCAGAATAAATAACATTTCACATGGACTGAAATATTTCATAACAGAATACTGATTTTAAAAAAAAGTTAAAATGGAGTTTTTAGAAATGATTTTAAAAAAAACCCAACTAACTGCCAATATTTCCATTTTGAGTCTCCGCTCTTCCTCATCTTGGTCTGCATATTTCTCCTTGATTTTCTTTATTTTTGCTCGCTGACCTCTTTTTGGCTGACCTGCCTGGCTACACGATGAGTTGTCTGGCTGAAAAAGGCAAAACAAAATTCCTTTGCATCATTCTCTATTATTAGATGACAGTACAATTTGAACTTTTATAAGCTGAAATGTGTCAGAAACCCCGAGGCAGACCAATAAAGGCAGTAAGTAAAGTTTAGGTCCCTTTTCCACACCTTTAGGCGTATAGGGCATATAGAGCTAGACCTATATGTTTATAGACAAATCGGCACAAGACGGGTGATGTGGTCAGCATCATGCCCGCCGCCTTTACTTCCTGGGACTGCACCCGGTACCCACTTAAGGCTGGGTTGACCCGGGAGTCAAGGTCATTTTTTAAAAAGTCAGCCTCTGCCAGGAAGGAACCCACGACCTTCCGATCCGCACGCGAACGTCTAGCCGCTACGCCATGGCGACTCCCACAAAGACAGTGGGGTAATAATATACAGATAGAACTACAAATTTCTGGGAGCCCATGTTGTGTAGCAGCTGGACGACTGCACTGGGCCTGAATGTTGTTAAGTACAAATCTGAAGCGAGCCAGATTTTTACAAAAATGACACCGGCTCCCAGTTTGAAACAGCCTAAAATGGGTACTAAGGAAAGTTCTGGGAAGTAAGGTATGATGCTGATCATGTCACCCATAAAGTGCTGATTGGTCTAAAAAATATAAGTCTAGCACTAGATGTTCAAAACGCCTACGTGGCACAGATAGTAAGAACTATACTTTATTTTGTGGCATTATACACACACAGAGAAAACCTGAGAACAAAATTACTAGAATATTTTTATTTTTCGCAGTGGAACCCACAGGGGAAAAAGAAAAAAAAAGGCAGATAAAAAAAAAAAACAGAGAAGGGAGCAAAAGAATGAAATTAGAAAGATGGGGAGGACATGGGGTGAGCTGAATGTAAAGATGAAAGAAGATAGAATGATTTAGCCTGAGCTGGTTGAGGGCCTATGCTCCACTGGGGAACAGAAGGCAAAAGAAGAAGAATATTCAAGTGATATTCTGATGAAGCCTTTCTAGCCATAATGCAAACAACAGACAACAAAAAAATGCAGTCAACAAATGCAGTCCACTGCTGCAGAAGATGAAGTTCAAGCCTTGATTTTCGAGAATGCTCTAGAGGGTGATGCTGTCACTTACACAGATGGGTCTGTCATCCACCATGTTAGTAGTTCGTGGGCTTTCACAGCTCAGTTTGGAGGGAGAGTTGTGAAGGAAGATTCTGGAGCTTTTGCCGTAATTACAAGTAGTCTGACTAAGGTGGTCATGGCTGTGACTAAAGCAGTAACATGGCTAGAGACACAGACTTTCACTGGGGCATGCTTTCTCAGTGACTCAATGAGTATGATCAGGAAGATGGAGAAGGGCTGGACTTGTGGGCAGTGGTTGGTGGCTCTTCAGCGTTCACGGCTGAGAAGGATTAGTTTCATTTTCGTGCCAGAATATGTGGGGGTGCAAGGAAATGAGCAAGCTTATAGACCTGCAAGTAAGGCTACTGTGAAAGCTGGACAAGCCATCGACCAGGATGATATAATTAATGCTCTACGAGATTCAAGACATTTGGGTGAACCAATTGAAAACTGAATCTGCAACCATGGTCAGACTGTAAGAACAGCAAATTAAAAGGGGTGTCCCCAAACAAGAACACTACACGAGTAGGCACAAAAGAATAATAAACCAACAGAAAAACTGGTGTTCGTGAGCCGCTACACACTGTGGGACATACTGAGGAGGGGATCTGAGAACTTACGGACTCAGTGGTTCCATGTGCAATGAGGATAAACTGTCAAGGAACCAGATAACTAACCACAATGATCGCCTGCTGTTTGTGTGTGTGATCATGTGAAGCTGGCTGGTTCTACTATTCATCTGGTTTGAAATCTTTTCATGACATCTGCCTGGAAGAGGATTCAAACACACAACCAATGGGTCAACACTACCAGAGAGCACCATGCAATGGTCAAGTACCTTAAATTTATCTCTGCTGTCAGATTCTACCTCAGCATCAATTGTTGCTCCATCAGGATCTTGTGAGACCTTGTCCTCATCCTCACTTTGACTTTTGTCGTTTGTTGGACCCTTCTTCTGCTTTTTCATATCCCTGTTGAAAATATATGTTGAGAAAATATATGCTGAGAAAATATATGTTCAGAAAATATACGTTGAGAAAATATATGTTTGAAAATATATGTTGAGAAAATATATGTTGAGAAAATATACTGAAAAATCTGATGGGATTAAAAAAAACTTACCATTAAATATTACAGTATAAATTTAACTTTGGGGAAAGGGTGGTTAAAATAAACTGTGGGATTAAAGTGGTCTAGTGGTAATAACAATGCCTCAAGCTTGAAAAGTCCTTGGTACAGGCAATATCTAGATGACTTTATCAAAGCACAGAAGAAACTAAAGGATGTTATAACCTCACTAGATCTGTGGGTAGTAGCTGAGATGCCCAGTCAACATGGCTAAATCTACTAAATCTATGCATACTGTTGGTTCTTCACATCTCAGGCAAATGTGCTTTGACTTCAAAGGAAACTTATTGGGGTCAACTTTGTTTGCTGGGGTAGTGGGACTGTAATCACCTCACTCACCCCCCCCCCCCCCCCCCTCCCCACCAATAAGACCCCAGAACGAACATGGGAAAAAATTAATTAATGGAACAGACACTCTGTACTGATCCCACTCTCTGTCTTTGCTTCACTTTTAGACTCATTGTACACTTTGTGTAATAGGCCTGCACAACATAGACTGCTAGCAAATTAGTGTTTGCTGCTCCACTCACTCTAATCTAGTTTTAGTGTGTGTGTGTGTGTGCGCATGCGTGGGTATGTGTGTGTGTGTGTGTATGTGTCTGTGTGAGAGAGACAGAGAGAATGAACAAACTTTATTTTCAAAGGGTCACAAATTGGGCATGCATTCGGCCCTTCCAAACACCCATCTTTCACACATCAGTTGTATTTTTTATCAATATAGCAAAATATGTTCATATAGTAATATGCATAATATGAATATCAAGAAAGCACACAAATACATGGGTGGTAAAATGCATGCACAAACTCACATGCACACACCCACATACATTCAAACATACACACACGCATTCACACACAATATATACAAACACACATACATATATGCATGCATGCATATATATACATACATATATAAGAGGCATTCATGCAGACATACACATGCACACACACACGGGCAGACATGCACATGGGCAAGACAAGCACACCGAGATATAGTCAGATACACACACACACATACAAACACACATGCAAACACAAGAACACACACAGACATGCATAGAGACACACACACAATCTCATACACACATGAGGCATAGATGTGCACAGACACACAAATACACACACACACCGACAAAAACACACGCAGATACACAGAGATGCACATACACAGAGACTCACACATACATATATACATAAATATATACATACATAAATACATACATGCATACAGACTTACACATGTACCACAGACACACCCACAGTCCCACACACGCAGATGCACACACACATACATATATATTTACATACATGCATACAGGCATAGAGACACACACACATACACACACAGATAAACACGCAGACACACCCGCAGAAACACACACAGATGCACACACCCAGACACACTCACACACAGACACAACCATCTCAAAGAGCCAGATGGACAAACTAGAGCGCATTCAGCACGCAGCAATGCGGGTCATTCTGGGTTGCACCAGAGACACCCCAGTGGTGTGTATGCGATACATCCTTGGTTTGCCGACTGTTGCAGGTAGGCACAAGGTGCTGCAGGTAAAGCCATATCTTAGGGTAGCTGCAGACACAGACCACCCTTTGCACGGAGCTCTGGGTGCAGTGAAGGGTCAGCGGCTGATAAGAGGGAAGTCATGGATGGCTCAGGCAGAAGACACAATCAGACATGTTTGCGTCTTTGAGAACATTAGGCGAGGAGAGGAGTGGGTCAAAGTGCCACCTGAACAGTCAGACTTATGTAGGGTCATAATCACACTGAGCCGGGAATGCAGAGACTGGCCAGCAGGTGCCACAGAGGTGGATATTTAGCAATTAATTCAAGATAATGCTCGCTCAGAAGATTTGATTATTTACACAGACGGTTCAGTGTCAAGAAGCAAAAGAAGTGGTTGGGGCTTCTTAGCAAAAGTTAATGGTCGACGTTTGGTGCAGGAGAGCCTAGCATTTGATACCACAACATCCAGCTTAAGAATAGAGGGGGAGGCGGTCACTGCGGCTTTCTGCTGGCTAAAGAACATGACACACACACACATCGTGATTGTAGATTGTAACTGACTCAGAAAGCATGCTGAAGAAGATCAGGACAGGCATGCTTCCTGCAGAGTGGCATGCCTCACTGCGGAAGACACTGTTGAGGAGTATTGTCTGGATTTTTTTCACCAGGTTATGCCGGTGTGTTGGGAAATGAACAGGCGGACAGACTGGCTGGCTCTGCACAGCTTGGTGGAATACTGATGCACAATAAGGTAGACGTGGTTAGTGCCTTGTGGGAAAGCTTGTACAGTTCGGAAGAGCAGATTGATCACCACAATGTGGTGAGATTGATGCAGTTAGGGGTGACGAGAGGTTCTGGCAGATGCTCGAGGCTCAGAGGAAAGGCAAGACGGATGTTTAATCAGAATGCTACTGGCACCATTAGCATCGGAACTCTTCGCTGGCTGCTGAAGATGGGGACGGAGCACTTATGGGAATGATCCAAGTGCTATGATGTCGGTTCTTGAATCAAATCAAATACGCAGACACACACATACAAACACTCATACATTATCATGCATACATACACATACATGCACTCTTGCTCATACATACATTCTCAAATATACCTACACATACACTAACACCTAAACACACAAAAACAACCACATATACACAAACACCCAAACGTACATACTAACCCATGTAAACAGAATCATATATAGACAAACAGGTCTACACATACACTTTTTTATACACAACTTATCTAATTAAAAATTGATAATGCAATATGGAGAGAGAGAGAGAGAGAGAGAGAGAGAGAGAGAGATAATGAGAGAGAGAGACACACACACACACACCACACAAGCTGACTGCCCCACTTGAGGTCTTTCTCAGAAAAGAATCCCTGAGTCTGTTTTTTCTCCAATTTATTTGCAGTGAAAGTTAATTAGACAACCCCATATTTGAGTTACAGAAAACCCCATTTACAGAAATTCACTTAAAAAAAAAACATTATCAAAATGAACAAAATGTCGGTCCCAGCAAGGGATGTATTATTTCCCGGTCCCCCAACCCTCGATTTTTCAGTTTCCTCAGAATTTGCAATAACAAACTCACGAATTCACCAATGTATGCTTTCTCAGCAACTCAATCAGCATGCTACAGAAGATCAAGGCAGGGTATATATAGAATAGAAACAGTTGCTCCATCTGATACAGCATGCAGTGTTTCAAAAATTCAATCTTCATTTTCGTCCCAGAGCATGCTAGTGTGAAAGGTGATTTGAAAGCAGATGCCCTGGCTGTCAGTGCAACTATCAAGAATGGACAGGTGAGACATCATCAATGCCATATGAGACTAAATGCTGTGGGGTTTTTAGTTTTGTGGAAGATGATTTTTCACTGAACAGACTGCACTCTGGGTGTATCAACTAGAGCAGCGAGACAGGAAAATCAGGAGCCACCCCTTGTTACATCAAGCAGAGCAGAATGGGAGTTGTTAGCCTAAAAACACTTGGGGACATAGCCATGAGGAGACTGGAGCGCTTATGGTCATACCCGATGTGCGATAAAGATGATCATTAAATGAACAATGATTGTGTTAACAAGGTTTTACTGCATTGTAAAAAAAAAAATATTCCTGCTCAAGAGTTTACCTTCTCTGCTTGGCTGACAGCTTGCCACTTTTACTGGAGATCTGCAAAAAGAAACCAAAAAACACAGATACAATGGCAGAAGTAATAGAAAGAAAGACCAACTTTGTTTTCCGATACATAAAACAATTCAAACTGTCTTACAGTTTCGGTGACCAAAAAATGCTGATTGCTTCTTTCTACTGTTTGTGTGTTCAGTTACCTTTGTCTTTGTACAATATTTAGCCTACTAATTTTGGCTAAATGTTATTACTTTTTCTTTTCAAGCATAATTCTGTTAAATCTCACTTGCATGGTAACAAATGGAATATGCTGTTTGTTTACAAATTGTACAGGGCCTACAACAAACACCCCCCCCCCCCCCCCCATACAACACTGACTACAGAAACAAAACAAACAACAATTAACATTTGTGAACCCAAATATGCAGTTAATGTTCAGAATAAATACAGTACAGCAGTACTGATTTTATGTTTTAGTTAAATATACAAAGTCTGATATTAATTTAATTTAATTCCAAAGTTATGATGAGTTTCTGGGTTAGTTTAGCACTTAGAGGCTCTTAGTTCTTACAGAGTGCTGAGCAAAATTTCAGAGAAGAAATGATGATGATGACTCTGCACAGGCACCAGTTAATAAATGTTTGTAGTTTATTAGTTAATGCCTTAGTTGTTCTCCACGTTTCTGCTCCACTAGCATAAACAAACACGACCATTTACTGAAATTATTAAAGAGGAAGCTGAAATATTTTGGTCATATCAAGCGCCAGATTATAGCAGAAGGCATGGTACCAGGAAGGAGGGGCAGGGGTCGACCGACATGAAGATGGCACAGGATATAAGTGACTCCTTGAGTCTGAAAGTACATGAGGTGGGAGAACTGGTGAGAGACCGAGTTTCTTTCTGCTACATGATAATGATGACTAAAGAGACTTGCATAACAATCCCTCCTGATCACTGATGTGTCATACCTTCTCTCCAAGTGTCACTGGCATACCATCACCAAGGAAGAAGGTATCTGGCTTGTCACTGTTTGTACTGGCCGTACTCCACTCTCTGTGTAGTTCATATCTGAGGGACCAGTCAAGAAAGGAAAAAAAAGGTACAGCTAGTACCATAGCATTTAATGCAGTGTAGAGTGTTCGTGACTATCACATATTCTAGTCCAGACATACAGCTGAGTTGTCTAGTTTCTTTACCTATCAAGTTTCATTCACAGACAACACTCAGAAAAGTTTTATCAATGTTCTGATACTCATTTTTGTCTTCTTCTTTTTCTTAGCTTTCACCGGCTGTAAACTCAGGTGAAAAGTTCTGGCTGTTTGTCCACGTCTGAACTTTAGTCATGTTCCAGAGTGTTGCAGGCACATCCATTATACAGATTTGGCTTATCTGTATGCAGACTGCTGGTTCCTTACCTCTTAGGCAGATGCCCTCAGACTTCAAAGGCAGCACCCCCCCCCCCCCCCCCAGTAAGTTGACTCCTACGACATGCTTTTTGTGAAAGCAGTGTGTCTATTCTTGTTCTCCCCACAACAGATCCCTGGAATCCACACAGAAAGTACTCATTTAAAATTGTAATCCTATGTCATGGTGACCTGCTGGAGAGAATGGTGATGAAGGGGGTGGAGGGTGGTAGTTTTAGGGAAATGAAGCAGAGCCAGACCTCCGTGAAGATGGCTGCAAGACTTAAGATGCCATGGCCATAAAAGTACACTAAGGCTGGGGAATGGGCTGGAGGAAGAGAGACTTTCAGGCGTGCCGTTATGAAAGCAATGTTCTATAAAAGGACCTGCTGATTGATGATGACCCATTTTTCAGAGGTTGGGTCAATGCCAGAGCTACACTGGTCACAGAAAAATGATTCTGCCTCTGCTGGGGATGGAACCCAGACCACTGTCTTGGCAGGCATGTGTACTAACCTCTATGCCACTGTAGCTATCAAAGCAGAATAAGTAGCACCATTTATATAGCTTTGGTGCAGTGACATGAGTGTTCAGATATTTATTTTTTCTTTTTCTATCTCTTCTTCTGTGCATTCACTGGTTGTAAGAGTTGAGATGAGTTGAGTCAAGAATTGACTTCACAGCACTCGGGGCATTCCCATGCATGCTCCGTCCTCATCTTCAGCAGCCAGCGCAGAGTTCCAATACTGATGGTACCGGTCACAATCTGGTTAAAAGTCTGTCTTGCCTTTCCTCAGAGTGTAGTGAGCCGGCCTGACCCTCTGGTTACACCCAGGTGCCTCATTCTCTCCAGGCCATAATAATACTGGTTGTAAACTCCGGCGGAAAGTTGTGGTTCTGGTTGCATGCAAAATTCAAGTTCTGGAGAAAGATCAAATCCACACATGGAAGAAAAACAAGGACTTTCTGCGGAAGATTTCAGCCAGTAAAGACTAACAACAACTGATAAAATGAAGATGCTTACTTATCTCCCTTGACATGTAGCAAATTAATGCTGGTGTCTGGAAACTCAAAGCTTTGAACATCCCCTTTCTCCTTCTCTGTGTCAGCACTGCTGACTTTCGCCTCAGATGTAGGTACTTTATCAACAGCTGGCTCAGACTTCACCTCTGCGTCACCTTCCTCTGAGATGTTCTCATCATTTATCTGTGAGGTCTCTTCATTATTTTCACCATTACCAACATCTGTATGATGTGAAGGGTCATTGGATGCGGTGGCACTTTCTTCCTCTGCTTCACTGCTGCTGCCATCACTAATATCTATGTCTATGTCATCGCTTTCCTGTATCGAGGCTGCTGCTGAATCTGTCACTGACATGGCATCGTCGTCAGTTACCTTTACTCTTCTTTCTCCTTTATGCCGCTCTACGCTGCCATCTTCTAGCTGGTGAACCAAAGACATGAACCAATTACAAACTAGACTACAGTTATTAAATACATCAGTTATAACTTGGTCTGTAAATCAATCAATCACACATCAGTTATAACTTGGTCACTAAATAAATAAATCACACATCAGTTATACCTTGGTGAGTAAATCAATCAATCCCACATCAGTTATAACTTGGTCAGTAAATAAATAATTCACACATCAGTTATACCTTAGTGAGTAAATCAATCAATCCCACATCAGTTATAACTTGGTCAGTAAATAAATAATTCACACATCAGTTATAACTTGGTGAGTAAATAAATAAATCACACATCAGTTATAACTTGGTGAGTAAATAAATAATTCACACATCAGTTATACCTTGGTCACTAAATAAATAAATCACACATCAGTTATAACTTGGTCAGTAAATCAATCAATCCCACATCAGTTATAACTTGGTCAGTAAATAAATAAATCCCACATCAGTTATACCTTGGTCAGTAAATCAATCAATCACACATCAGTTATAACTTGGTCACTAAATAAATAAATCACACATCAGTTATACCTTGGTCAGTAAATAAATCAATCCCACATCAGTTATACGCGGCGTACGTGGCTAAGGCATTGCGAGTCTGACTTGTAATCCAACGTACCGCGATCGAAACCTGCGTGGGCTGCGTGGATTTTTATCGTGGTATGGAACGTCGCAGGTCGACCCAGCCTCAAATGGGTACCAGGATGGGCTGTCCTGGGAAAGTAAAGACGGCTGGCGTAATGCTGACCACATTACCCACCGAGTGCCGATTGGTCTGTAAAAATATGGGTGCTCTTCGCATATGCCCGATGTGCCTAAGGGCGTGTAAAGGGATCTTTACTTTTTACTTACTTACATCAGTTATACCTTGGTGAGTAAATAAATAAATCACACATCAATTATACCTTGGTGAGTAAATCGATCAATCCCACATCAGTTATAACTTGGTCAGTAAATAAATAATTCACACATCAGTTATACCTTGGTGAGTAAATCAATCAATCCCACATCAGTTATAACTTGGTCAGTAAATAAATAATTCACACATCAGTTATAACTTGGTGAGTAAATCAATCAATCACACATCAGTTATAACTTGGTGAGTAAATAAATAAATCACACATCAGTTATAACTTGGTGAGTAAATAAATAATTCACACATCAGTTATAACTTGGTCAGTAAATCAATCAATCACACATCAGTTATTACTTGGTCAGTAAATCAATCAATCACACATCAGTTATAACTTGGTCAGTAAATAAATCAATCCCACATCAGTTAAACCTTGGTCTGTAAATTAAAAAAATCACGCATCAATTATAACTTGGTCACTAAATAAATCAATCACACATTATTTAAACCTTGGTCTGTAAATAAAAAAATCACACATCAGTTATAACTTGGTCATTAAAAAAATCAATCCCACATCAGTTAAACCTTGGTCTGTAAATAAAAAAAATCACACATCAGTTATAACTTGGTCACTAAATAAATCAATCCCACATCAGTTATAACTTGGTCAGTAAAAAAATAAATCACAGTAAATTAGAAGTGAATGATGTATATCTTCTCCTCTGTCGTCTTACTGATGCCAGTTTGTAGCTCAGTTTCGTGGTTTTCTGTATTTGTCTTGCACTTCTTGGGTGGCCTGTGTGATGGATTTGTTTAGCTATTTGCAGGTTTTGGCTACACCCTTTATCCATCTCTTTCTTGGTCTTCCTCACACCTTCCTCCCAGATGTTGTGCTGTAAAAAGTTTCTCATGCAGTTTGGTCTGGCTGCATATATTCAATATTTCTTGTGAAGTAGCAATCAATTACACCCCTGCCTGCTTGCTAGACCTGCCACTTGGCAGGGCAGGAACAAATCTGACCTGGTTGGTGCCCGTTTCCTTCCAGGTGACTCACTGCCTCAATAGCCTGAAACCTAAATTTTCCCATGTGCACCACGAGGAAGTGAAGTTGACCAGGGTGCTCAACAGGTCATTGGCAGGCTATTTAAATTTCACTTTTCACTTCTCCATAGAGAAGCTAGCCAACCGTAACACTATTTGCTGCAGTGCCAAGCAGCTGAACACACCCTTATATGCCCCAGTTATACATGATGTATAAATTATAATAGTCACCACATCATGAATCAAGTGACAGTTGGGGATGGTTATAAACACGGATCTCGTACCAGAAACCAAATAAGGAAATGTTTTTAAATAAATACAGTTAACAAACTTATAACTTATTAATTATACAAACATTTTCATCATCATTATAATTGTGTGCTATTGTGCCCTTATATGTAATATGGGGTTCAGTCTATTCTCCATTTCTTTCTATCATGTGCAATTAATTCAATATCAAGGATGGAATCCAGTCTAGCAGCTTTGGCTTCTCTCATCATCATTTGATTTAGGGTTTCTTTTGAGCATCTTTGATTCCTCCATCCGTTTATTTCCCATTTTAATGCCTGTCTAGTGGTTATCTGCTCGTTTCTTTTCAAGTGGTGTCCAATTTACAAACATATGACTTAATAATTAATAGTTTGTAAGAAACTTCACATCTGCTCAAATTTGTTGACTTCCTCTACATTCTGATCACTACTGGATGAGCAAAGACTCTCAAGAAGCTTTGTCAGCTTCTGCAGCTGGCCCCATGTTATCCCTGTACTCATCCTGTGCAAACATTTTCTTGTTATACTATTATCAGGTATTCTTAATTCGAGAGGAAGTCAATAAGTAAGTCACAAATGGTTAGTGGTTTCTAAAGGTGTCATAAGGTGACAACAAAATTGAACTTTATGTCTCCGTTCGCTAGGTGGCACTTGGTGTTGCATTCGCAATACAGAAACAAAATAGTGACAGTACTTACTGAGTGTACCCTCAAAGAAAAAAATGATGTTTTTTTGGTTTTTTTTAAAGCTGCCTGCAAAGGACATTCATAAGGAAATGCTTTCTGTTCATGCTGACAAATGTTTATCCTGTAAAGCAGCCCACTAAAAACCCACCTTGGCAGAAGACTTTCGTGAATGATGCAGAAGTTGAATGTGAAATGAAAATGTGGTTTAGAAAACAGAGCACGCAGTTCTATTCAGGAGGTTTGGGAGGACTAATAAAACAATGGGACAAGTGCATCAATGTTGGTGGAAATTATGTTGAAAAATAAAGGGACAGTATATGTATCAAAATAAACAGTTTTCAAGTTGTTATTGTTTTTTTTTCAACCATTTGTGGCTTACTGACTTTCCCTCGTATATGTCCTAACCAAACAGAACTTGTCCTCACCTCCTGAATCACTTGTTTTAAGACCAATGAAAAAATACTGAAACTGCATAAGAGAATGAAGCTTGCTTACTGTCAAGTGCTAGGCATTTTTTTGCTGCTTACTATTTAGTAATATCATTAATATGATTATTGTTTAGTGATGGGCACCATTCTGCTTATTGCTGTCTGATGTTTTGCTTACTGTTGTGTGATATCATCATTTTGCTTATTGTTGAGTGATCATCTTTTAGGTTATCATCGAGTGATAGGCTTTTCTGTTGTTGTTTTTTTCAAGAGAAATATCACCATTTTGTTAATTATTGAGTGACAGGCTTCATTCTGCTTATTTAGAAGTGATATCATTTGTGTATTGTTAAGCAATAAGCTTCATTTGACTTTTTTATGAGTGATATCCCCATTTGGTTTATTGCTGACTTATATCACCAATTTGCCTCCCGTCAGGCAGAATTGCCATTCTGCTTATTGTTGACTGACTAGCTCTATTTCGCAGATGACTCTGCAATATCTATGAGGTTTATCTCTACAAAATTACATACCTTAAACATGAATCCAAAGCCATAGATGAGGTATGATGGCGGAAGAAAATTTTTCCTTCCTAAAAGAAAAAAGAAAACTCTTATAATGTACATATTAAAACAGATACACTGTAGAGATTTCTCTTCAGTAATTATAAATCTGATGAGAGGACCACTAGTACAACTGCTCCAACATTCTTTGCACACAACAGAAAATACACTGTAAACACTTTTCTGTATTCCCTTCCAAGAGTGCAACATGAAGGTCTGAAATCCTGTAACTCAAGAAGCCACTATTGAGATTACAATCCAGATGGAATAAATTTCACATACTCTTTTCAACCATGCAAAACAATTACACTTGGGAACAAGTACCATGCATACGTAAGAGTGATTTAGAATTCTATGTACATACTAGGGCTGTACCGAATAGTGATTTTCACTATTCGGCCAAATACAAATAGCGGGATCAACTATTCGGCCGAATATGAATACGAAGAGTGTTTAAAATATATCTAAAAAAAATAATTTCATAATGTCAAATGTACACTGAACTTTTACTTCACATAAAGTAGCACAGAATAGTCATCTTCTTCTTTAGCATTCTGAGCCCTTGAGTTTACTGCTGCAGATATCACTCGTCTCTTTTCATCTTTCTGGCTGGCCTTATCTTCACAATTTGTGACACCAGTTGTTTGCAGGTCTGGCTGGACATTATCTCTCAAACTTCTTTTTTGTCTGCCTCGTGGTCTACCCCCATTCCTCTCTCAGGTGTTTACAGTTTTACTTCTCTGTCATCTGATGTTCTTTCAATATGCCCCAACCATTTTAGTCTGTTAGCTCTCATGATGCCAGCAATCAATAGAGATTTAAACAGATTATGTGTTATGTTGTTGCTTCTCACTCTCCATTCCCCGCTGTTAGCATCTTTGATGGGTCCACAGATTTGTCGTAAGACTATTTTCAAAAACCTGTAATAAGGCCTCATCTCTTTTATTTCTGCTTCAAGTTTCAGAGCCATATAAAACGACTGGTCTTATCAACATTTTATATATTTTGATCTTGGTGTTGCGAGACAGACACTTTGACTTTAGTAGATGTTGAAGGGCATAGTATACTTTACTTCTAGATTGTATTCTAGGTTGTATTTCTTCTCTCAGCATGTTGGAGCAGTTGAATTTTGCACCCAAGTACTTATATGTTTCCGTTCATTTGATTTTCATATTATCGGCTTGGATGTGGCCAGAGTTTATATTCTTTCCATGTCTAGTTAGTATTCAGAATAGTAAACATTTAAAAACATTTTATGTTTTGCATCCTTCAGTCAGTCTGTGGTTACTAATAACTAGGAATGAAAGAATCTTAAGTAATATAAAAAGTAACTAAACTTGGATATTGTCACTGACAGCTTAGTTAATGCACGAAAGCTGCATTAGCTTTAGAAAAAAATAAATCGTTCCATGTTGTCAGCATTAAGGCCGTGTATGCAGAAGTGGGTGTAAGGTAACTACTATTCGTATTCGGCCCGACCGCAACTATTCAGCCAAATACCAAATAGTCAAAAGGTCCACTATTCGGCCTGGAAGCGAATACGAAGAGAATATTCGGTACAGCCTTAGTACATAAACATTCTTATAAACCGATGATCATTTACACTGCTCGCCAAAAATCTATCTACAATTCATACATTTATCCACAGAAGGCTCAAGCCTATATGTGTGTGTAACATTTACTATAAATATGCATATACATACATATGTAAACAGGTTAACATGCACAAGCAAACACTCATATATATGGAAAAGGGAATTAGCAACAGAAAAATAATATGGGAGACATACACAGGAAATTAAAAGAGATAGCCAAGGCTAGAAGTGACAAATGTAATGACATAGACTGACATTAGAATGTTTTCGGAGAAAAAACAGTTAAAATATTATTGTGAATAGCTACCAAAAAAAAAAACATCACAATGGCCACCTTTACTTCCCAGGACTGCACCTGGTACCCACTCAAGGCTGGGTTAACCTGGCAGCCAAAGTCATTTTTTAAGAAAGCCCAATACCGTCTGGACCCAGAGCCACAACCTTCTGACCCACAGGCGAGCGGCTCACTTATAACCTACTGAAAAACTATACAAAGTTATGTTACAATTCTGTTACACACAAAAAAAACGTCTACATATATTGTAAAATTATAGGTCTGTTACCTCTGATCATAAAGCTGCCAGTGGTCAGATATTCTCCACTGGGGGCAGTCTTGGACACCTGGTCATGATAAACCCACCAGGCGGAGGTTACGACCTTTGAATCCCAGGCGGCACTGTTGCAGATTGCCATAGTCCCAGCCTCGTTTAATGTTTTTGGTGGCACAGGGTTTCCTATAAACAGAAGAGACAGACTATATGAACAAACAAACACACTTTATTTCTAAGGAGTCACACATTGGGCACGCAGACCCGTCTTACTTTCAGCTCTTCCAAACACTCATCTTTTACAGTGCAATTGTCATTTATCTAAAAGCATGCTTTATTTACAGCAATAACACCGTGAAAAGAAAAACCTGGCAGCTAAAATTACTTATAATGAGATTGTAGAAAGATATATGCAATAACTGTATGACCGTGAAAAGAAAAACCTGGCAGCTAGAATTACTTATAATGAGATTGTAAAAATATATATATAAGAATTGTATGACCGTAAAAAGAAAAACCAGGAACCAAGAATTACTTATAATGAGATTGTAAAAAGATATATGCAAGAATTGTATGACCGTGAAAAAAACAACCAGGAACTAAGAGTTACTTAAAAAAAAATAGATAAAATATCAAAGAAAGTACAATCATCATTATCAAGAGCTCACTAAATGACTATCTTGAAATGTGTTGTACGTAAGAGTTATTTTAAGCCTCCTCTGAAGTTGGAGCGGGTTTGCCTGAGCGGTGAGGAACCAGAAGTCTGTATACAAGTAAGTAAGATCTGAAAAACTGATGTGCATGCAAAATTTAAATTCTGGAACAAGACTAAAGTCCAGACGTGGACGAATTACCAGAATTTTCCTGCCAGAGTTTACAGCCAGCTAGCAAACGCTAATGAGAAAAAGATATCTGGACTTGCAACAACAAGGACATATGTCATATGATGCTTTAGACTTAATCAAATGCCACTTTTGATTATTCAGTGATACACATGTACTCAAAAATGTATTTTAACATATTCATACAAGCAGATGTAATTTTGTTCATGCAACTAACACAGTGGAAGACGTGGGGGGGAAGCTGCATGCAATAGCAAAGGGTAGAATGACTTGGCGTGAGTTGGCCGAGGGCCTATGCTCCATTGGGGGTTAAAAAGCCAGAAGAAGAAGAAGAACTAACACTGTGATTTAGAGTCTACTTCATGATAGGTACTGACTGTCACTCAAAAAAGTTGAGGAAGATTAGAGATATCAGACAACTGACCTATTACATAACAGATTTTGTAAGTAACCACAAATCTTACCTCCTGGATTTTTTATAACACAACTACTGGCTCCATGAAGGTCAGCATGTACATAGAGGTCACCTACACAGGAGTATAAAACAAATAACTTATTGAAACAGAAACAAAGATTTTTCCTTTGTGACTATCCATACAATTACTGTTCAGAAATTATGGTCATTTCTCTTTTATTCTACTAAACAAAAGATATTTTATTATGTCTTTCATTTGTGACTGGAGCAGAGACACTCAACTAACTGATTGAGTCAAAATGGACGCTAGGCAGGGACACTTTTCGGAGCCGAGGCAAATTTTTTTGCTTCTGCTGGACGATAGCCGATGCATTTTTGCATGGCATAACACTGTGAGCTGCGGATTTCATTTGGAATGTTTTTTCGACTGTGACCAACGTGGTGGTGTGAATTATAGATTCAGAAAATGGCGCGATCCCTGTCGTCGCAATGTTGGTGGTGCCCGTATGTGATTAAAATTGATCGTGTGGGCAACTGCCGATCTGTTGGTAACTTCTGCTACCATCGATGATGAACTGCATTTCTAATGTCAGACTGTTTGTCAGACTACCAGACAAACTAACTGATGCCAATGCCTTTGTAGGGTAGTGGTCCATGATGTGCTGACTTTTTCAACTGAAATATTCTACAGACTGACATAACCAGTCTGACACCAACCCTCCTTAGTTACCTCATATGACACACTTGGTAAGTCAAAAGTTTACAATGTTGTTTTCCTTATGAGATACAGGGTGTCACCGTGGTGCAGCAGCTAGACACTCCCCTGTGGATCAGAAGGTCATGGGTTCAGGTCTGATGGAGCTGGATTTTTTTTTCATAAATGACTTTGGCTCCCAGGTGGACTCAGCCTTGAGTGAGTACCAGGTGCAATCCTGGAAAGTAAAGGCAGCAGGCATGATGCTGACCACATGACCCACAAAGTGCTGACTGGTCTATAAGAGAATGAAATGCCACAAGTATTCTACTGGGGTAGTGTCGTTTTTTATCTTGTTTGGAATTTAGCCTGAGTAGCAAAATATTGCAGCCTTACTCTTCTGTTTTATAAAAGTCAGCTTTATGTGGATCTCGCTTTCCACATAACCTTTGCAGTGGCCCCAGTTCTCTCGAGATTCACCAATCGAAACTTGGCCCTATAAACATCACGTGACCCAAGTATTTACATTTATTGTGGTCAAGCCTTTCAGGAATACTAATATGCACTTTCACAATCTTTGACCTCTGACATACTTGCTACTAGGAGTTCACACACAACCGTATAGTACCACAACATTCCAATGCTTTCTTCACCCTAGTGCAGAAAGAAAAACAACAAAGAAACAAACCTGCACTCATATAATCTGTACATAATTACTCATGTGCTATGTGGACTAATACAGACCTGGCCTCAAATACCTCTTGACTATCAACTCATTCTGCTGCTGGTCTCGACCTCCAATAACCAAGTAGTTCTCAGAGCTAATGAACCACAGAAACTTCTCAAACCTACAGTTAAAACAAAAAGAGTCATCTCATGTCAGAAGCTGCATTAGTACAGCAATATTATGCTGGAAGGCCAGCTGCTCCTTGCCTGTCTTAATAAAATAATTCTCAGGTACTTTTATATAAAGGCTGGGTATCATGATAATACTGAAAGTTCAAAAAAAAAAAAAAAAGTAAAGATCCCTTTCATGCCTTAAGCACATCAGGCATATAGGAAGAGCATCCCATATTTTTCCAGACCAATCAGCACTGGATGGGTAATGTGGTCAGCATTAAGCTGGCCGTCTTTACTTCCCCAAGACAGCCATCCTGGTACCCATTTTAGGCTGGGTCGACCTGCAACACCCTATACCATGATGAAAATCCAGGCAATACTGAAAGAAAACAGATAATTTACAAAATCTCATCTGATCCCATATTGGTCCTCGTTTAGCTTGTGGTGACAAGGCAGTTAAGACAATCAGCTGTTTTAATCTCATGAAAGATATTTGACATTTCTTACTCTGCAGCATATGGAGTACCCCACCAGCCGTATCAGTTCCCAAACTCTGATTGCTATCTTTAACCTTTAGTGAATTTTTGTATTCAGATCTGTTTAGTTTTTGCAAACATACACACAGTGGCTTGCCACTTTTCTGTGAGGGCAGTTTCCATACAGGTCAGTTTGTCCTAGCCATTCATTTTTGCAAACATTCACACAGTGGGTTGCCATTTTTCTGTGAGGGCAGTTCCCATACAGGTCAGCTTGTCCTAGCCATTGTGCTATTTTAGTAGCATCCTCTGCTTAGAAGAGCTGAAGTGTTACCCAGTTCTGTTAACATTTTAATGCCTTACCACTATTATCCATCACCATCACCAGAAGACAAATGTCAGGTAATCTCTTCCATGCGGTCAGACGTATTGGGCATGTAGAGCCAGGCCGATATTTGATAGACCAATCGCCACTGAGCCAACATCAAGTTACCTGCCTTCACTTCCCAGGAGTCCTTTTTTTGTCGTCTTACTGTTGTAACCCAGTGTCGTGGTTTTTTGCATTTGTCTTGCACTTCTTGGGTTGCTTGAGTGAGGGATTTCTTCTTCTTCTTCTTTTCTTCTTCGTCTTCTTCTTCTCCCACTTCTTTGTCTTCTTCTTCTTCTCCCTGCCAGGACCTCACATTACCATGACTGGGCACTCCATCCCTGCCCAACAGATGCCCAGCAGGCTAAAGAAAGGAAAAAGGCACCAAACATCTTCTGCTGGTAGAATTTCCTATGCTCAGCTACCCAGCATAGTAGTATTTAAGTATAACTGTATAATTTATGGAATTTAAAAAAAAAAAAACACTTACCAGAAAGTCTTTCTGGTTTTGTTAATGCTGGCAGCTGTTGCAACCTCCTTCAGTGTCTGTTTTGTTTTCTTTTCAGCTGATTTCAGCGCCTGGGATTCATAACATTTAACAGTTCAGAAAATATTTACAAAAAATTGACTGATAGATGTATTCTTTCTCTGGGATGCTACTTATAGATGTTCACCTGATAAGCCACAATATAACAGGAAGTGGCAGTGTGCTGGGCTCATAACCTAGAGGTCCGTAGATCGGAACCATGCTTTGCTATCAACAGTGACTCAATGAAGACAAAGAAGGGCTGGATCTGAAAACAGTGTCTGGAGTCTCTAAAGGGGTTGGGGCTGACACATATTAGTTTCAGACTTGGGCCAGGTCATGCAGGCATACAAGGAAATGAGCAAACAGATCTGCTTACAGGTAAAGCTACTGTGGAGGGTGGACAAGCCAGGGACCATGCTGATATTCTTAATGCTCTACAAGACATAAGACGTTTGCGAAAACCAAGTGAAGACTGTGAATCTGCAACAAGACCAGACAAGAGCACTATGCAGGAAGCCAAAGAAGAATAAGAAACCAACACAGAGCTGGTGTCGTGAGCCTCTACACGCTGTGGGATTTACTACGGAGAGGATCCAAGCATTTATAGGCTGAATGGTTCGATGTGCAATGAAGATAATTTGTCGAATAACTAACTAAGGAAGAAATCTCAAACTGTTTCAACCTTATAAAAATATAATATTTAGGAGAACCCTATGGCCACACCATTATTATGATGTATACTCTGCTGTCCTAGGTACGTGAAGGTTCCATCAACACAATTACCAGATGTATTATTTTTTTTCTGTTCACGCTCATTTTGATTAAGTTGTCTGTAATTTTAAAATCACATTTATGTATGAGAGTTGCGAAAATGCATTTTAACCAATGATAAGGAACTGAGAAACAATATGATAAATCAAAAACAGTGTAGCTTCTCTGAAATGCTGTACTGATTACTTCTTAGAAACATGCATGTCATTTTGTCATAGTCCACCGTACCTTCTTGGAAGCTTCCACTGTTTTCTGTTGCTTCTTGGCCGCTTGTCTTTTCTTGTCAAAATATCTGGCAATAAATAAGGTACAATGTATTCTTTCTGTCCCTAGAGATAAGCCATCAGCAGTCCATGTGTATGCAGCAATACAGGATGTAGTCTGAGAATACTACCTAAGTCTGACCACGTAATCCAATGCTAATACACGGGTTATGCTTCAGCCACATATAAAAGACGTAACATTTATGATAATCACATGGAGGGAGCAGCTGATGGCAGCAAGCAAGAAGTTAACAGCAATACAAGTGGGAGGATGATGTCAAGAGACGGACAAACAGTACTTTGAGAGAGTGTATACCCGGGGCAAGAGACAGAATGTGCTCGGGATCCACTGCAGCCAAACTACTCACTGCCACTTCACTTTTGTGTCTGGTTATGTTTATACTGTCAAAACTGTCACTACTGTCTGCATGTACCACTTTTTAGTGCAGTGTAGACAGGGGGGCCTTGAGACTGAGGATTTAGGGTCCACATGGCTAGTGCTCTCACCATGGACTGTATAGGTCAGGATGCTTAATTTTGTGTCAGAAAAACTCCATTACCTTACCGGAGGTTGAACCCAGGTCTCCTGCATGAGAGCCAGACACTGTAACTGCTCGGCCAGCCGCTAACTGTGGTTATGTTTACACTGTGAGTTTTTATTATTTTCTTACAATCATGCCGGTACCATCCTTAGCAAAGGTTGCTTTGACTGATACATCAAATACGTGATGCGTTTTTATATATTCATTGGGGCTTTTCTCAGTCAACTTCTACACTTTTTCTTTTTCTTCATCAAATGCTCAGCATTTTCAGGTGATAAGTGGAAAAGACACATTTCTGTGTTTCTGACACTGAATAAGTAAGTCGAAAATGGTTGTTTACACACAACTATTAAAAAAAAATAATTTTTTTTACACCTACACTACCCCTTTATTTTTCAATATACTTTCCAAAAACATTGGTGCACTTGTTCTATCGTTTTATCAGTCCTCCCAAACCTGCTGCATAGAACTGTGTGGTCTGTTTTTTAAACCACATTTCCACTTCACCTTCAACTTCTGCGTCATTCGTGAAATTTCTCCCCCAAGGTGGTTTTTAAGTGCACCGCTTTATAGGATAAACATTTGTCAGCATAAACAGGAAACATTTTCTTATGAATGTCCTTTGAATGCAGCACTTTTGCCCCCCCCCCCCCCAAAAAAAAAACCACAACAGCATGTTGTTTTTTTAGGGTACACTCCGTAAGTACAGTTGCCCTTTTGTTTCTCTGTTTCAAATGTACATGCAACACCTAGCGCAACCTTACGTACAGAGACATAAAGTTCAATGTTGCTGTCACCTAATGGCACCTTCAGAAACAACTAACTACATTTTCCTGCCATCCATTAACCATTTGTGACTCATTTATTGACTTATCCTGGTATATATGAGATTCTTGAAAGGTCGTTATGACCAATACACAGGTTATAAAGAGACTGTTACAACCACATAAAAAAACCCATTTACCTATTGAAGCATGGGTCTAGGAGATGTCATAATCCTGCAACAATACACAATTTAAAATGAGATGCCTTCTGGACTTATAGTCCAAAATATGGGACTATTTGGTAGTTTTTTGAATTTAGTATTATTGTCTTTTTCATAATGTGCTGATGAAGGCTTTCTAGCAATAACATCCATTATGTCATTTGTCGACCAGTACTACTTTCCATTTCTGTTATCTGACTAATTATATTTTACAAATTGTATTGCCGTGCAGCCCTCTTGCATTTCCATTTTAAACTATAGCTAATAAGGCTCCCATTAATACTTCTCAAAGTCCATGCCATGTGTGGCATTGATTATCATATCTATCCACAACCTTCTGTCTTGTGCACTTTCAATTAGCTCTGACATAGATGATCCTCTATGCCATGATATCAAACTGTCAGGCATCTTTTCTCTCAGTCTCCCTCAGCCTCTCCTCCCCTCCAGCTTTCCTGCAGCGATGATTTACTCCAGTTTTCTCCTTCTCATCATATAACCAAAGAATGAAGATTGCTTGTCTCCTTCTGATGTGGGCAATCAGTTCTCTTCGTGAGACAATGTTTCTTTCAAGACATCCTCATTACTCTTTTTATCTGTTAATGGTATTGTCACCTTTCATCTATAAAACCACATCCCTGCAGCTTCCAAATAAATGTTCACTAATCTACCAACTGTCCATGATTCACTTCCATCTATACTAATCACTATTATTTGTTACAATCCCCTGTAGGAATAATAAAGAAATGTTGATGACCTACTTCTTGGAATTTCCATAAGCACTAAGACCGAGATCAATGTCCACCCTCATTGGCTTCAGATGTTCAGTTCCTGTGTCGGCTGCAGCAAACGGATCACTGTTAATTTGCCAGAAAAAAACAAGAATATATAAATATATTTTACTAGTTAAAAACGGGAGCCGCTGTCCTGCAGTGGCTAGATGCTCAGCTGTGAGCCCAAAGATCATTGGTTGAAATCTACTTCGGGCCAAATTGATTTCAAATACGGACTTAGTTACCAGGTTGACCCAGCCTAAAATGGGGGTTAGGTAAAGTCCTGGGAAGTAAAGATGACCAGTATGATGCTGACTACATCACCCACTGAGTGCTGATTGGTCTATAAAATATAGGTCTAGAACTGTACACCCAATATGCCTAAGGTTAAGGAAAAGGGTCCTTTTACAGTGTTTAAAGATTAGATGACTGATTTCACTAGGTGGGTTTTATTCTACATGGCTTTAGTTTTCTTCACACAGCAGTTGACCGCCTATCAAGAGCACTGCACACAAAGTATGAGCTCCGTAGCTCCAGTGACTAACATCACAGATCTTTTAAAAAAATGTACACCCACAGACTGACCAGCAAAGTCAGATGATGGACCCATAACCTTCAGAGCATGAAGCAAACAGCTAGATAACATAAACTAGTTATAACATTATTATTAACCCATTTGTCCTGTCAAAATGACAAAGATCCACACCCTGAAGAAATCTTCACATAAGAGCCAGGGACTCACAGCCGATGGCGAAGGTGAGTGTGACTGGCAAGATCCACACCCTGAAGAAGTCTTCACATTAGAGCATGGGACTCCCAGCCGATGGCGAAGGTGAGTGTGACTGGCAAGATCCACACCCTGAAGAAGTCTTCACATAAGAGAAAGGGACTCACAACCGATGGCAAAGGGGAGTGTGACTGGCAAGATTCGCACCTTGAAGAAGTCTTCATATAAGAGCCAGGGATTCACAACCGATGGTGAAGGCGAGTGTGACTGGCAAGATTCGCACCCTGAAGAAGTCTTCACATAAGAGCCAGGGATTCACAGCCGATGGTGAAGGCGAGTGTGACTGGCAAGATTCGCACCCTGAAGAAGTCTTCACATAAGAGCCAGGGACTCACAGCCGATGGTGAAGGTGAGTGTGACTGGCAAGATCCACACCCTGAAGAAGTTTTCCACATTACAGCATGAGATTTCAGGACCGCTGTTGTCATCACATGTATTCGGAATACTTCTTTTATCATGCTCAGCTCTCAACCTTTCTGCAATCACAATTTCTTTATTCCCAGTCCCTTCCTCATTTTCCATCTGCACGCAGCACAGTCAAAAGCATTTTGTTCCTCGCAAATTTACCTCAACACCTGTATCATTCATGTCCCACTTGCACACATCTTTATATCGTAGTAGAGACCAGCCTCAACATCTTCTACCCATCTGTAATTCACCATTGAGGATGTCCTTAGCAAGGGGCTCACCGTTCTCTTTTCTCAAGTGTGACCAAGCCATCTGAGCATTCAGAAAACTGTTGAAATACCTTTTTTTTTGCAATACCTCAGTGTGGTTGATCTTGTCAAGTATTCTTCTTAGGCATCATGTGTAAAACTAAAACCTAATTAGCCATTTATTTCAGTGCGAAAAAGCTGACCAAGTTTCACAGCTGTAAGGATGAGTGATGAGATTACAAGCCTGACAGACAACAGTTTTTGTTGTAATTGTGAGCTTTAAGTCCTCCCAAACTCTTTTGTGTTAATCTGCCTTACCTATGCTGTTGGTGATTGGTTCTGTGATAGTTTGTTATTCATTGTGGATCACAGATATGGAAAATGGTCAACTGTCTCCAGCACTACATCATCAATGCAGACTGCAGGTCTGTACGTGTTACATCATCATAAGTTTATCATAACATGTAAATATAATCATATTTACCACATTTAGAAAGTATGAAGTTGCACTGACACCAAAGCCATTATTCAGGTGTAATAGCCACTGCCCAAAGACATCATTTAATCACAAACCCATAAAAGTAGAAAAACTGGCTTTCTAGAAGCAACAGGGTTAAAAAAGAATTTTTAAAATGTCATTTTAAACTTCTCTATTACATACATTCATGCAAGATGCAGAAAAAATATTCGGTTTAATAAACTTTTTTTTAAGTGACAGAAAATGAAATACAGGCCATTGCAGAAGCTCATAAAAGCATGGTTAGAAAGTTACAGAAAAACAAATCAAGAAAGTGTCACGTAGAAGGTGAAATGTACTTTCACAATAAAATAGGATAATCAGCTCAATCTGTGAAGACATCAAAACAAGACCAACTCACTGTAAAAGCAGAGTAATCTGGTTGCTATCCAGCTTCAGAGCTTTGATAGCATTAGCAACATGGTCACCATTTATCTGGGCTTCCTTGACCAGGTTCCAGATCTCCGTCCAGTCAATCTGGTTGGCCACGGCACTGTTTACAATTAGGATGGCTTTATCAACCTAATAGAAAAAGTAAAGTAAAAGTAAAGGACTCTTTTCCATGTCTTCAGGCATACTTTCAGGCATTTAGGGTTAGACCTATATTTTATTGACATAAAGTGTTTAAATTAACTGTTTCAAATAAAGACTAGCTGATGCATAATTGAACAGAGGAGGCATGTCAATTCTTAGAAAATAGATAGCATTGTTTTGAACAAGCAAAAAGATAAGCACAACATTTTATGTGTAAATAATATTCATCCGTACACAACATTTTATGTGTAAATAATCTTCATATGTTTCACTTCTTCTTTGCGTTTAATTTCGTATGCTCAGATCAGTCCATCAGGTGGGTTTGCCTCTATGAACTCCCATGTCAGCAGCAGGTCCTTTAGGGTTCTCTATAGCTTGCTCTGCACACTTTACTCTTGAGGCCAGGTGTCTTTTCAAAGTTGTAGGTAGAGTGGGCAAGTCTGCAGAATGTGCTTAGGTGTTTATGGTCCTGTTTGACAGGCACACTGTGGGGATTGTACAATCTTTATTTTATGCATGTGGTAGTTGAGCCTGCAGTGTCCCTGTTCGTAGATGAAAAATTGTTGTATGTTGCTTTCTGTTGAGTCTGCTGATGGGGTCTTGTGGCTGTTTACTGTTGGTTTGTTCTATCCATAACTCCTTTATCTTCCCTTTCCCTTGGTAAGTGTTCTGATTTCTGGTAATGATAACGAATGAGTATTCTGTTTCCTTTTTGTTCCATTTTTTGCAAGTCTGTCAGCCAACTCATTTCCTGGAATGCTGAAGTGAGCCGGGATCCACTGGATTTGATTGTTTTCTGCGAGTCTGTTTAGCCGGGCGGTCAGTTCCATCTCCATGTTGTCTTGCGGATTCCTCTGAGTCACCTTGAGGACTGACATGCAGTCACACAGAAAAACAATTTTGAGATGTGGCTTTCTGAGATAAAATACTGAGGAACTTACCAAATCCAAGTTCATTTCAATCAGCTGTCCACGCTGGATATCAGTCTCCTGTAGGATATAACATAATCATCATGTTAGATCATCTTACTTGCACAGCACAAAGGGTGGTAGTCATGCAGTTAATTAAAGAGAATAGATGATACGGTTTGGCCATCTGACTAGAATGTCCTGGTACTAAATGCCACAGAGTCACACTGAAAAAATACAATAGAAACAGAGCAAGGGAAAGACACAAAAGATGAAATGACTGTATCATGAACAGCATCAAAGAAATGATGATCAACTTACGCCATGAATTCGAAAGAGCATTAAAAAGATCTTTACATTTCTTAAAACCTTGATGAAGCAACTGGAGGAAGAGGAGAAGGAGAAGAAGAAGCCAAAGATGACAAAGGTTATTACTACGTCTCGGAATATGAAATTCCTCCACTCTGGGTTTGTGACCTTTTAGTATCTCAGAATGTGTTTGTTTTCCACTGGTTTTCCCCTAACTTGAACATCCAGGTGGATAGTTTGTTGCCACTTCCTTCCCTCTTGTCAGCATTCTACTGTAGAAATGCCCACTGATTGCAGCACATACTCTAACTTCTGAACTGAACTTACTGCACTCTTGTGTGCTGCATATCAACTATCACAAGGAGGTGCAGCTGGGTCTTTAGCTTCAACGAGCTGAGACCATGATGGCATTTCTCATCTCCAGCATTTTGAAGCACAGGATGGTGGTAACAGATTCAATGTTTCCAGTTCACACAAATCTAAAGCTAGCTATTTACTATTTTTGCTCTATAAGTGGGTTCCGGGGCCCCAATTTTTTGGATGCAAAAAGTGGAGGGGAAGAACAGACTCACTGCCACCCTAACAAGCATGTTCTTGCTGTAGATCACAACAAATGTGCCAACCCCCTTTTTTTAAAGTGAACACAGAAGAAAAAAAGAAACTGTATTTTAGAGATTTTTTTTTTTTCAAGGACTAAGTAAAGATTATAACGATGTTACAGAAAAAAGACTAACCAATCTCAAAGCATATATTACCAGGGTGACATCCCAGCCGTCTTTTCGGCTATGCTGCTGTCGGGCCGATAGATCAGCTCAGTCGTCCCCAAAATGTTAACATAAACATTGCCTAGTGAAATTACAAACTGCGAAACAAAGAATAATTCTGGGGTGGTTCTGTAAAGTGTATGCAACTAACTAACTTTACAAACTGCGCATTTACACAAATACTTTAAAGAAGTTTAGGTCCCAGTTCATGCCTTTTAGAGGTACTATACATACGGTGCTAGTCCACTATTTTTTTTATTAATTCAGCACCTAACAAGTGATGTGGTTAGCATTACCTCATCTGCCTTTACTTCCCAGGGTATTTCTTCATACTTATTTAAGACTTGGCTAAAGTCTTGGTCAGTTTTGTGAAATCCTCTGATAAGAGATTTGGACCTTTGACCAGTGAGCCAGTATACTAGCTAGTAACCTTAGCTCCTAGTCATCTGGAGAGCATTTTTAGGTAATGTCCTTTCAAAAACTGAGCAATTAAGTAAAATGGCAACACCAGCAATATGTCAAATCTGACACAAAAAGAGCCTTTAAAAATCTGACATAGATTTTTTTAAAAATTATTTAAACTGACACTCTTACCTGCTCTTTTTGCAAACCTTCTATTCGTTTTTCATTGTCCTTCTTAACATGCTCCAGTTTTTTAAGAATTGTTTTCTCCTGTGAAATTTAGAGACAAAAAAATTTGATAATACAGAAACAATGTATAAAATACAATGAAATAACTGGACAGGGAAGGCTGACAGTGCACTTAGCTTAAACTGTAGCAGAAAACATGGAAAACAAGCCAAACATATACAACAGATGATACAGGATCCTAACATAATCATTTTTGAGAATTCCTTGTGCGGGTTCCAGGGCCCCATTGTAGGAAAAACAAGAAAAAACCCACAGCCTGCCCAAAAGCATGTCGTAAGAGTCGACTAATTGGAAGCTTCCTTCGACTTTGGAGTAATTCTCCCTGAGAGACAAGGAACCAACAATCTGCATGCAAATGAGTCAGACTTGTGAAACAGATATGCACATAGTACTCAGGTTCTGGAACAGGACTAGAGTCCAGAAGTGGACAAACAAGCAGAACAGAATGTTCCATCCGAGTTTACAGCCGGTGAACGCAAAGAAAAAGAAGATTTCTGAGAATGTCAAAATAATAAGTAGGCCAAAAACTTTCATCAAATTGGGAGAAACAATCTCATGACAACAATGATCTCTTGAGGAAGTATCCAATTATATTTTTTAAGGGGAAGATGTTATGTCAGTAGAGCACATAACTACTTTTAAAGTTTCTGTCTGTGTTTCATAGTAGTGGATTTTAAGATGTACAACAGACATGGCCAATGAAGACAGCTAGTTGGTCATCAGTTCATCCTTTATTTCCTCCCCAGCTGTTTCACTTCTCTCTTTAATGCCCTCCCCTAATTTTTTGCAAAGGAAGGTGGGGGAAGGGTCTGCTTTTAATCCTTTGACTCTGTGGATTCCAGACAAGGATATTCTTATAAGGTCTTCTTAGTGTGTGTCCAATCCACTCCTTTCCCTCATCACTGGAATTGTTTAATTCTTCCCCAGGGCGAAACAATTATGATTCATCAGTTACTAGCATTACTGCTGTGACATAGCTTAGATCAGACTATGCTATTCATCTGTCAAGACACTGGTATGGCCCGTATTATTTGGCCATTCTAAATTGTAGGTTTGGGTGTTTTTTTTTTTTGCACCCTCTGTGACTTGTGAGTTGACCCCCATCCAGATGAGGATATACTAAGACAGGTATTAATAATAATGTATCCAACTCTTATTTTACTGAATTCTTGAATAACTGGAGCACATAATCAGGTGGTTTCTGTAAGCATATTTGTTGCTCGGGTAAGCTTTCCCATTTAGTTATATAGAACACTGCAGCCTCACTGTTGTGTGGTCATTTCTGCTTCTCAGTTTACAGGTGGTGTCCCCAGCTTCCTGCCAGCCCAGCGTCAAGAAATGTGAGACCATGATGACTCTTCTCATACGCTCCATCATTAATCATGTTTCCACACCTAGACATACTGGGTAGAGGTTGCCATCAGCACCCACTGATCAGCACTTGACGCTGGATGTCTTTTCTTCCCAAAACATTTCCTGGTACAGTTTAAGGCTAGGTGGACTAGAGGCTCATGTCAATTAAACACTAATTAGACAGATTCGAGCACATGGCTATGGAGCTGGCAAGCAAGTGTACAAGCCACGCTGCTACTGACCTTGCCCAGTCAAAAATGTGCATTTAGCACTGAAAATCGATGTACCAGTGCCCTACAGCATAGGTCAGAAGGAACAGTGAAGGCAAAAAGCTTACCTGCTGAATTATCTTTAGATCCATTCGCTGACTTTCAATTTTAGAAAAGAACTCATCAATAGCCTGTAACAGATAGTTAGACAACATATTAATTAGAATGGCACGATGCGTTAACAAATAAAGTCTGTTGTGCATCTTTTACAGGTTGTTGTAGAACCAACCCCATAATTTTTTTTGGTTGTTATGGTTTTTCTAGGCAAATTTTACGTTCACTGAATGGTCAGCTCTCAGTACCACTTGTGAAACCAACACAAGCCATTCTGCTGCCAAACTGTCCACATTTGGGATCGAACCCGGCACTATGAAATGCATTCACAATGTCTAAGCCATATACACCTTCAGGATGCATTAAACAAAAGCTATTTTCAAATTGTCATCTGTTTGATGAAGGCAGTCCCATGGCTGATACTGCCATTGTCCCCGTGTGGGTTCTAGGGCCCCCTTTTTGGGGTAAGATCCACCCCCCCCCCCTTAACAAGCATGTTGTAAAAGTCAACTAATTATGGGTGCTTCCTTCAAATTCTCAGTACATCTACCTGAGATGCAAGGGACCAACAGTCTGCACACCAATAAGCCAGATCTGAAAATGGATGAGCAAGCAAAACTCCAGTTCTGAACCAAGATAAAAACCCAGAAGTGGATGACAACCGAAACTTTCCGCTGCAGTTTAAAGCCAGTGAACGGAAAGAAAAAAGAAAAGTACTGCCACTGGTCATTAGACACTGACATATTCTAGATCTCAGCATGAGGTAGGGTGTCCTGTTCCTTTCCTCTGAAAATGGCTTGGTACCTATTTTATGAAGTTAGGTAAACTCTAAGGGTTAGAAAAATAATAATCCTGCCACTGCTAGGGATTGAAGCTGTACCAATGTCTTGAAAGGTAAGGAATCTAACAAGTATGTCACTTCAACTCCATTTACATCTACTGTATATATATAAAATGTGTGTGTGTTGTGTGTGGAGTGTGGGTATGTGCACGTGCATTGTTCCCACAATTTGTCTGATAGTGTCATTATTTACTCAATCTCGGATGGTTAGATTGGCTACTTTTCTCAGGCATCTCATCTCGCAGGTGGTGATTTTAGTAAAGTGAATTAAAATTGTCAACATAAAAACAATACAACATTCAATAATGTATCTCCCCGTGTGGGTTTCGGGGCCCCATTGTGGCAGAAAACAAGAATAGACCCACTGCCTGCCCAAAAGTCTGAGTACCTCTGCCTGAGAGGCAAGGAACCAACAGTCTGCATGCAAATGAGTCAGACCTGTGAAATGGATGTACACGCAACACTGAGGTTCTGGAACAGGACTAGAGTCTAGAAGTGGACAATCAGATCTTTCTGCCGGAGTTTACAGCCCATGAACTCGAAGAAGAATGTATCACCTGATCAAATCTGTCAAACTCTGAAACAGCCATTTTACTGTGCTGTCGATACAGATATGGGTGGAACTCCTCATATCTGGAAAAGAAATTGAACAATGCACAACAGTTTTACAAAGGGTACACAATTGTTTTGTACTTACTTTTCATTCATGTTTTGTGTTAACCTAACTTTGTAATAGTCCGCCTGATGAGATAACTGTAAAACATGCCAAGAAATGTCTTTTTTGTCATAATTCCATTTACTTCCTCTAGCTCTCATACAAAATCTCAAATATCCCTTGGTAGCTGGGGCTGCTGCATTCTTACAACTGTCACTATCAGAAAACCTTTTAACAGATGCCGCCCAATAATTGTGAAGCCGGATTTATCGAGAATTTAGTAATGACAAATCATTTTACTGCATATTTTACTGAATAAAATTTGTAGTTGTTACATAGAAGCTTACATTAGGAACAGATAATGTAAACAGGTGTGCGAATTAGTTTATAAATATTAACTCTTAGATGAATCAAAGCTGTCAATACACTCCTAACCTACAGTCCATGGCGAGAGCACTAGCCAGGTAATATTAAATCCTCAGGCCAAAGAACCCACCTGCCACATAGCAAAAGTGGTAAACAAAGGTAGAAAAGGCAGGCAGTTATTAGATCTCTGTTTAGTTCGTGACAGAACAATTCATATTTTCTTATTTTTTAAATAATACTTCTTGTGGTCTAACTCACTTTCGTAATGCTGTGTTTAAAAAAAATTACATCTGGGTATCAGATCCAAAGAACTAACAATAGAACTCTCCAAAGAACAGAGTTCTCTGTTGACAAATGGTTGCTGACTCTTAATTAAAATACAGTATATTTTCAAGTTTACAAAAACATTTAAACAAAACTCAGAGCTAACCAAATGATGCTAAACAAAGTTTACAACACATCAGCACTGAAATGGCAGTAAAAACAATAACAACATGATAAATAAGAACTGTAATAAACTAACAAAGAAGAAAAGAAACACTGACATCCTAAAGGATCTGAACATGCTAATAAACAGCAGAAATATTCTGGACATTTCAAGCACCATGGCAGACTGGTAAAAATAACAGCATTGTACCAGGAAAGGGGGTGGGGGGGGGGGGGGGGGAACGACCAGCATGAAGGTGGGCACAGGATATAAGTGACTCCTTGGGTATGAAAGCAGATTGTAAAGAAAACAGCGTTCTACAAAGGACATGCTAAATGATGATGATGAATAAACTTACAACCAAATCTCTTCCTCCTCACCAGGCTGTGGGTTAGGTTTTCTATCCTTCTTTTTAATGATGTAGCCCTGTTAATACAACAAATATAGATGTAATCTGTGTGTCTATCAACACAATTTTCTTCAAGTCAATATTTTTTAAATAGTTTAATTATCAACGTCATAAAAATTACTATAAAGGTTAGAATAAAATGAAACTAGCTTAACTTATAATCAGAGAAATGTAATGAGTCAGTACAATGCAACTGAAAATCTATAAAGCTAAAATACTTAACATAAAATATGTGCTTTCTGTAGGCAAATTTATGTGTGTGTACACACATACAGGAATTCTGGCTTATTTTATTAGACTTTTTTTTCCAACATGTTAATGTTAACATCACAAATGACGAGGTTAACCAAATAATTACCCAACACACCGGTAATTATGATCCTCTTCTAACTACAGTTAAAAAACAGAAAAAGTAATGGTATAGACATGAAATAAGATCTAACAGCCTCTCAAAAACAGTAATACAGGACTCAGCAAAGGGGAAAAGAAGAAGAGGCTGACAGAGAAAGATTTCATTACAAAAGAAGGACCTCATTACAGAACTTGACGGACTGGACAGGCCTTAGGAAGCAACCCTGAAGTCCACTGCATCTGACATTCAACAGTGGAGACAGCTGATGAGACATCACAGGGTTCGTAGCGAAATTCACCAACTTTTTTCCAAGGTATTTTTAAATGTATCTTTGCCTTGTTTAAGGGTGTGATAGAGGACACTGGGTAACAGCACGAGAATCACCCAGTATTGATTTTTCAAAGGCTCCAGAAAATGTATCTTAATTTATGCTTTACTCTGTTTGTGTTTACTGATTACTTCCTTCAGACATATTTATTTTTAAAAAATTCTAAGTGTAGATAAATAAATTTTTCAGCAATTTCTAAGTGACCTGTGTAACATTTTTTATTTTTATTATAAGGATTTGCCCTGATTACATTTTTAAGCATTCGAGGGTTTTAAAAGGTTAAATAGCTACAATCTAGTGGGCTGAGTGATCTCGAGGCATGGTGTCCACCTCGAGTGATAGAGGTCCTGGGTTTAATCCCCAGTATGGGCTGGGATATTTTCATGTGGACTTGGACTTCTAGTAATTCCCCCCTGGTCGCTGGGTAGTGAGATATGATGCCAATGTGAAGTGCCGAGCACGTAAAAAATCCATTAGCAGTTGCAAATTGAAAACAGTAGCCTAACGCCGCTGCCCGGGCAAAATTTGGAGTTAAAAATATATCCAAAGTATTGCAGGAACCTCGCCCATTCTACAAAGCCTGTGCACTGTGCTGAGCTTCTTCAGACTCAGACTTGAGTTAGAAGAAGAACAGAGCACTTTTGTCATGATGTTGATTTACTGTTCAAAACCTCAAAGCCACAATTTCAAAGTTGTCTTTTATTTTTATGTAGAGGGCCTTGTGTAGGATTCATTTACATCACAGCCTACCTGAAGGACTGTCAACACTGTTGCCAGTTTCCCTGTTTCATACACTGTCCTGCCCACAGTGTCTATAATGTTCTTTGTCCACCTTATGCTAGTCAACATTTGTATTATTTATGGGTCCATCCCCTCACCATATGGGAACTGTGAACGTTCAAGCTTAGGGTGTTCCTGATATCCTGTGTCCATTACTATGCTGGTCAACCTCTTCCAGAAACTACATCCTCTATTACTGTTTCCTGCTCACCATTAACCAAACCATTTTGCTGGATATACAGCATTTAAAAGTAATGGGGAAGGATATGATTATACTTCAGTTACACACATAAGTTCCCTAAGCAAAAAAAAATAATGACTGCTGGGTGGCTACAGGAAAGCAAAGAGTCTAACGACAACAGGAACACCACAACAAGTCAAATACAAGTGACAAGTTGTACTGTAACCATGAACACTGCCCAAGAGAACTATATAACTCCAGTTGTCAGACAGAGTATCTGGATCTTAACTTCACGTCCCCCACATCTACTCTCCTGGGCAGCATTCACAATTCTAATACAGCAGATTCAACTGGACAGTCTGTGTGCTCAAAACAGAATAAACAACACAGCTAAGAACAACAGTCACATGACATATGTCCGTCCTATCTCACTGACCAAGAGCTCCTGAAACCAACTGCCACAGGGTCTTCCACCAGCAACCACCAACACTTCCCTAGCAATACCCAAGCTGGTCATAGTTACCCATGAATTTCCAGCAACACTTTTTGCAAACTTTTAAATGGCCTAAGTATTAGGCACTGGCCTTTGTCAGTGTATTCAGAAATATTCATGTGCCCGCACACAACCTCTGATGCACTCAAATGAGTTAGCATACAACTAGTTCATCCCCATGATAGTCAACTGCAGTGCCCCCACCCTCCCCCACCCAAACCTTATTTAATGAATAACGTAGAATATACCTTGCAAGGCTCTGCCATGAACTTCTTCAGCAGGTCTTCAGCTTCATGTATTGCACTCATCAGTCTAGGAAAGTCTGAAGTTGATTTAAAAAATGAATGTTAAATTAAACCCTAGAATAAATCATTCAAAGTTCTATACAATAGAGAATAAAATATGGAATGAAATAAAAAGAAGAAAAAGCAGGCAAAGCAAATTTAAAAAAAAAACACACACACACACATGCAAGCATGCACACAGCGTTTTAGAAATAACAATGCTGAATTTACTGTAATTTAAAATGGGCAATACTAAATCAACTAAAATTATAAATTGGGAAGCGCATATAAATGCACGTGCACTCACAGACACATTAAATTTTATATACATTTCTGATTCATATACTGAACTTAAAATGTTTCTTTCTAAAGTCAAATCAGTACTGGTGTATGTAGGAGAACCTGGAGAACAACTAAAACAATTACTAATAAACTACAAACATTCATTAACTTGTGCCTGTTCAGGATTGAGGAAATTAAACAACAGAATACCAATGTTAAGCTCTGGGAAAGAATTAAACAAATTCCAATGAATCAAGAGGTTAAGAAAAGATGCTGGCTTTGGATAGGCCATACATTGAGAAACCTGACAACAATATAATTAGAGTGTTTTCACAGCGGAAACCCACACAGACGTAGAAACAGAAGCAGGTGGAAAAAACAACACGTAGAGAAGGGAGCTAGATAATGGAATTAGAAAGACCAGGTGGACAGGGTGAGCTGCTTGCAACTGCAAAAGATAGGACTGACTGAGGACCTAGAATACATTAGGGGATTAAAGGGCACAAAATAAAGAAGAGAAAACTATCAACCTGCCTAAGTTTTAAACATCAACTCAGAAAAATTAAAACATATTAAACATATTGTGTCATAATATAACTACCAGTTGTTTATAACTATTATGCATACCAGCATCTAACGTAAACCCTTTTCCAATTTTGACATTTTCAGGGAATCCTGCTCCCAGCAAAACATGGTCAATAATTGCTGGACCATAATCTGAACCAAAAGAAAAGAAAAAAGAGTTAAATACTATCATGAATATGTATACATTTTCATTACCAACAATTTAAATATTCATTCAGCGTGGATCTAAAATTTCTGTAGATTGCAATCATTACTCTTTTCTTTCTTGCAAGACTCTACTGAAAATTGGCAATAAACTGGATAGTGTGTCCAAATGGGAATCAATTCGGATTCCTACACTCTTACAAGACATAGTGGACACTGTCTATGATTCCAGCATGACTCTTAAAGGGAAGTGACAATTAATCAACATATTTTGATGGAAAAACCAACAAAATATTTTTAGATTACAGCTTTTGAATGGTTTTGGCCAATATGTCTTTTTCTTTGAACTAAGTACCTCGTCTGAGCAGGCATTAATGATCATTATACTTACCTCTGTCATCTGATATCCTAATGATGTATATTCTGCTCACTTTACAGTGTTATTTGTTGCCTATCTGTTGCCCAGTTGTTCAAGTTTCCCTACATCTTTTTCTACTATACACATCTCTTAACCATAAATTTGCAGACACATGGTCAATTTCTCTATATCATCTCCCCCATGAATAAGCCCTAGATTTACTTGACTTCTCCCTGTGCTGTTGATGAGCATCTAGAAACCAACAATGCCTCAGCATTTGAAACCACTCTGTTAACCCTTTCAGTTCCAGGCAGGTATCACTTTAAGTCACTGATTTCTAAGTATTTGTTACCTACAGTAATAGCTGTTTAGATCCAGAAGGGTTAAACTAACAAACAAGGGACAAAAGGATTTGAAATTACATTTGAGATATCAAGGATTATTATAACAGCTACACTGAGAACAAAATATTTAGAAATATGTGACCTGTCAGGAATAACTATTAAATGCAAATTTTAATGAAATTCGAAACATTCTTGGAAGAAAAAAAAAAACCAGACGTTTCCTAAAATTTTACAAACTATATTTGTACAGTGATCTATACTTCCTCAACGTAAAATATACAACAGCTGTGTAATCTATGGATGAAACTGCATTTATTTGCTTTATTTACACTGAGGAGCTTTGGTTTGTATGTGTCATGAAGTGCGAAATTAATTTTTGCACTCAAGAAAAAGTGGCCTATTTTAAATGCAACATCCATTTTCATTTATTATTTTTTAACAGATATATCAAAGGTCAGAGAAAATCAAAGATAGTAACAAATGCAATGCCACTGAAAAGAAAAAGTAAGGTACCGATGCTATATAGAATTCAAGATAAATATATATATATATATATATATATATATATATATATATATATATATATATATATATATATATATATATATATATATATATATATATATATATATATATATATATATAAATTAAAAATGTAAACATTAAAAGTAAACATTTTAAATAGTCACTGTCAGTTATTTGCAGCATTGTTCAAGCAAAAAAATCAAAACAAGATTTGAGATGGCCCCATCTGCCATGACAAGTCTGAATCCTACATGGAAAAGCAACATTAGTTCTCCTATTAAGATTAAACCATACAAGTCACTTGTATCTATGCTATTATACATTTGTGAAAGGTTATTCTCACTGTAAAAGCAGAATGAGAAGATCCAGGTATCTGAATAAAGTGCTTTAGGAATATTCTGCACATAGAGTATGTGCAGCACAGCCTTTGTTGGAGTCAAAGTAAATATGTTTGCAGGCCGTCAAGATCCACTTTTCTCAGTGACAAAAATGTCAAAAGCTTGCATGTTTTGGGCAGGTTACACCACCATCTTCAAAGTATTCCTACATAAAAAAGTTCAAGGCAAATGAAGAAGAGGATGCCAGAGCAAATCTCAGACAATTACAGATTATAGTGCAGTATTTCCCCATTGCATGTTGTTGAGGATAATGAGTGACAAAGGACACTAGTGAAAGATTCTTTCAACATGACACACATGATCCATTTCTGGGTTTCCGCAAATCACGATATGAAAAGTTATCAAACTTTTAATAAAACCTACATCTCATTTGACGTGTCTCCATCTTGAAATACTCAAATAGTTTAAAAGCTTGTGATCCAATGACTTGCAAAAACTTTGTGGTTGATAGTTCTATGGCAACTGGTTCTGCACTCACATAAATAGGGCATAAAACTGGTGCTTCCTATAAACCAGTTGCCATCTCCAGAGTGAAGACAGAGATCAGCAGCACCGCCACATGAAAATATTGAAGGAGCATTAAACCACCCCAATAATAACTATAATAAAAATAATAATTATAACTTCTCAAAAAACACGGCTCAGGTCTCTTGTGTTGGATAAATCAAGGAACAGGGACCAGACAATGAGACACAAACCTGCTGCACTACAGAAAGTACACTACAGAAAGGTTTCCCCAATCAAAGAATAGGGAAATAGGCTGAAAAATGTTTACCAAAATCAGATGTAATGGACAACAAAACAGTGCCACATAATTTGCTTCAAGGTGAAAACTTACATAGATTTGTGATATAATAACAAGTAGAAGTATGATAGCATAATCACTAAGAAAAATAAATGGAATCCAAAGGTTTTCTAAAATTCAAGCAATAAATAGTTACTTTAAAATTTTAACAGTATGCCTAAATGTGAAACATTTATAAGTTAAACAACTTTAAAATAATGCTTTTATTTCAACATTTACTAAATCATTTCTATGAATAACATATTAAATTTCTCCTGTATAGATATGTAATATATAATTAAATGTAAACAATAACAGAAGATCAACTAATCAAGACAAAAACCACTGCCTTCATCCACAAGATAGTTTTACCTAGGTTTGGTATCAGCAACTTCTTCAACAAATCACCATCTTTGCCAGCTTTCATGATTTCCATAATACTAGAAGACAATATTTAAAAAAAAAAAAAAATTATTTATTGGAAAAACATTTATATCATCAAAATTGTACACTAAGTGGCATTTTTAGGTCTTCCTAGATGACAAACAGATGGAGAGACTGGCTGGCTCTGCACAATAAAGCAGACATGGTTAGTTGCCTTGTGGGATAGCCTGTGCAATTCCGAGGAGCAGATCAGAATGCTACTGGTACCATTAGTATCAGAACTCTTCACTGGCTGCTGAAGATGGGGACGGAGCACTTATGGGAATGCCCCAAGTGCTGTGATGTTGGTTCTTGAATCAACTCAACTCCTAGACAACAGTATTACATTGTGTTATAAGGACACATTAGAATCACAGCCCACGGTAATGGCAAGTGAGACTAGCCAGACCCGGCTGTACTAAGAGAATTAAGGCCAGGGATAAAGTTGTCCTCTTCCCTGCACAAAGACTCTGCAGTGTTCTACAGACTACATGTTGTGCATGATTCCTCTTTCGGCAGCCTTATTTGCTCCCCAAGGAAAGGTGATAGCAATGCGTCTGGAACAAGGCGTGCCGCAAAAGCTGTTGGATCAGAAGATCAGTTCTCTGTCTGTTTATTTTTCAGAGCTTCCCTCCTAGACCAACTGCCAAAAAAAAGGCTAAGGGCCTAGCCTGCCTGCCATAAAAATTGTTTGCAGGTTGAATTTCCTTTTCTAAAAAAAAACTAGTATTGTTCCCTCAGTGTACTTCTCCATGCAAAGCCATTGAGACAATGTAGGTTGCTACCTTTTGTATGTGGTGTCCAACATTTAGCATTAATAGAAAACAAGAAGCACCAAATTCTGTTATTTAGCAGCTCAGTCAGTGTACATTTAATTTAAATTTAAATGGTGTAAGATGGTGGCATAAGAATATTGAAATTAAGAATCGACATCATAACACTCGGGACACTCCCATGAGCGTTCTGTCCCCATCTTTAGCACCAAACAAACAGTTCCAGTTCTGATGGCACCAGTAACTATTTGACTGTATGTCCGTCTCGCCTTTCCCTTGAGTGTTGAGCATCGGCCAGATCCCCTGGCAACTCCTCGCAATGCCACTCTCCTCCGTAATGATCTATTTGCACTTTCGTACTGTTCACTCGTTCCCAGAGGGCCCACACAACATCTAGCCAGTCATACATCAGTTCACCACTAAGTGGTGCAGAACCGGCCAGTTGGTGGCCTAAGAGTATTTATTAAAAGAACAGGTCTAGAACACTTACATCGTTTAGAAAAGCTCCCCATGTGGGTTCCAGGGTGGGGGTGGGGGGGCCTCATTTTAGGGGATTAAAAAGAACAGCCCTGCCCTCAACAAGCATGTCAAAAAAAGTCAACTAATCAGGGTGTTAACTATAAAGTCTGAATGCAGCTATTCTAGAGGCAAAGAACCAACAGTTCATAGAAATAAACCAAAACTGTAAAATGGATGTGCACGCAAAGTTTTGAAACAAGATCACAGCACAGAGGTGGACGAACAACCAACATTTTCTGTTGGATTTTACAGCTGGTGAATACAAAGAAGAAGAAGAAGAAGGCACATGATTATGATGATTATTTATCTAGTTTTAAAGTACCCACTAAAAGCATTGCACTCTTTGTATGACTTCATTTACCACGATTATTTTACAGCGAAACATGAGACTTTTCCCTCAAGATTCTCCCTGTTGATGTTTTAAGCTGTTTGTCTGTACTACTTTAATAGTTTGCATTATTCTTCTTCTTCTTCTTCTTGTTCACCGGCTGTGAATTCCGGCGGTAAGTCGCGGTTGTTCGTCCAAATGGACTTTTGGCTTTTACCTTGACCTGAGTTTTGCGTGTACATCCGTTTTACTGTCTTATTTGTTTGCAGTCCTCGTTCCCTGCCTCACCGGCAGATGTACTCCGACTTCGAGGGAAGTTTGCATTATGAAACAGACATATTTTTAAAGCTGATATTTTCACTATACATCCAGGTATCTTCAAGAGTACAGGTATAATTTCTGAGCACTGAGGTGTATTTGACCCTTTATTTTGACCCCGCCCAAAATCTGTAACAAGTAATGTCCTTTGAAGTAAAGGTGGCCGGCATCATGTTGATCACATCAGCCATCTAGTGATGACTGGTCTATAAAAATACAAAGTAGCACCATATGATTTTCCATGCCATGATGTCAAAACTGGCCAGCATCTTCTCTTTCCCCTTCCAACTTTACCAGTGTGACGATGTAATCCAGTTTTCTCCTTCTCATGACATGACCAAAGAATATAGATTGTCTCCTGAAATAAGCAATCAGTTATCTTAGTGAGTCCCTTTCTTTCAAGACACCTTTACCACTCTTTTTATCTGTCCAAGGTATTCACAGCATTCATCTATAAAACCTCGTCTCTGCCGCTTACAAATAATTTTCACTAAAAGTCTAACGGCCCATGACTCATAAGATGCTAGAACCATATTTTTATAGATAACCTGACCCTCTGCGGGTGCTGTGGTCAACATCCTGCCGACTACTTTTACTTCCCAGGACATTACCTGGTACTGACTTTATGATGGGTGAACTTGGGAGCCAAGGTCAATTTTGAAGGAAAAATTTCGCCTCAAGGCAGATTTTAACTCAAGACCTCAAAGCCAGCATGTGAGTGTCTATTCATTAGGTTACTGAGCTAACAGTTAAGTTAGTTGTGTTTCTTTTACAGGACGTTGCAGAACCAACTCCTGCATGTTTTGGCTGTTGTGGATTTTCTAGGCAAAATTACATTCAGCAGTTTGCCATTGCTTTCTGAATGGTCAACCTTTGATACCACTACTGAAACCAACGCAAGACAGTCTGCTGCAGCTGGGATCGAACCCGGCACCCCAGCATTACAAAGCCGGTTTCCAAAGACTAAGAGACAGACAATTTTCTAGCCTATGTCAGAAAGAAGGAAACTAGTCCAGTTCATCTCATATCAATGCAGCCTGGGATATGCAAAGACCTAACAGAGATCACACCCCAACAGTGAAATCTGGGATGGAACTACCTTTACTTGTTCACAGCACACACACATACACCCACAGTTCAATATTTTCAAAAGTGATTCAGACCTCTCTTCTGTTGGAGGTGTGTGTGTCTTGCTAACATCTACAGGGTACTTCTCTCTCACAGCAAATTTCACATCCTGGGTTGTGTCTGTTCGTGGCCGAAGAAGTGTCAAAATGGTGTACTCATGGTCAGTAAGTACCATGTTGCCCTGGTGAAGAAAATACAAACAAGTGTTTATATCAATGCTGACAGCAAACAATGGATCAAAGAAACAAAATACATCGTACAAAGGCAAAATATACTGAGCAATACTTTTATTCACTTGAAAAAAATTATCTATATCTGCAATGCTGCCTCTAGTATGAACTTCACTGTTCCTTAGCGGCCGTAAAGTTTAGCTTCCTCCAGTGTCTCTCTTGGCCAGAAGTTTTGCCTGGAAATGTTGCATCAGAGAAAGTCTTGAGAATGTGATCTGCTGTCTAAAGTGCAGTCCACATGTGCACATGGTTGATTCACCAATTAAAAAATTTGTATACATGTGGCTGCGAAGTCGACTGTGCCTGTTCTAAGGCGTAGAATAATGACTTGCTCTGGTCTGTCCATAATATACTAATCGTCTTGTGCCAATTTTAGTGGCTTTCTGATTGACTAAGCAATGCTTTCTTAATGTCCTTTAGCAGTTTCGTAAACATAACATCATATAAAGCATCTGAATAAAGTCTGGTAGCCTTAAAAAAAAAAAACAGATGACAGTTTTTTTTTTTTTTAACCGATATGATAGCAATAAATTTTTATGTTTCTAGTGCATCTGTTTCTACTTCTTTACTTTGTATTTATGAATGCTTTTCAAAACATGATAATTTCTTTATTCTAATTTATGATTCGCAGCCTTGTCTACATATTGTCATCAAGCTTATACATAAACTAATTTGTAGCATGTGCTATACCAAGCAGCCTTACATATTAAGTGGTACAAAAACCTGTATAAACTGCAATAAAATACAGGAACAGTTGCAGGAAACACAAAAGGGAAGACTCTAAACAATGTGGCCATCCTGAATTCAGAAACAGTCAGTAAAACCCTTGGCTGAAACTAAAATGCTGCTGAGAGACAAACACTTAAGGAGAAAAGTCAGAGTGAAATGGTGTTTAAACAAGATCCTGGGTTATGACTGAAGTCAAGACAATGTCAAGTCAATACCCTTGCTGCAGCCATGATCTCTATTGAGAGGCTGCTGGCTGTAACAGCAAAAACGCCACTTATCCCCTTAATAATTTTTTTCCTTTGCACTCACACTGAACGCCCAAGTACGTTGCTTGCCGCGGGTGACCGATCCATCTGTATAAGCTATAGCCACATTGACACCTGTGTTCTCATCAATCAGCATTTTGATTAAAGTGTCTGCTATGCCAGAGATTTCAAATATATTCAGATCCAAAGTGCTAGTATAAAATCTATGACAAATGACACTAAGAACACTATATTGTCTTTGAAATGACCAAGAAACATTTATGAGTTTCCCTGTGGGTTCTGGGGCCCCATTGTGGGGGAAAACAAGAACAGACATACTGTCTCCCCAACAAGCATGTCGTAGAAGTCGACTAATTGGGGATTTCCTTTGAAGTCGAAGTGCATCTGTCCGAGCGGAAAGGAACAACCAACTGCACACAAATAAGCCAGTAAAATGGATTTATACGCAAAACTAAGGCCTTGGCAAAGTCCAAATGGATGAACAACCAGGACTTCCGTGGGGGCTTATAGCCAGTGAACAAAGAAAGGAATGTATTAGTCCCTTTGATGTGAGAGAGTTAATAAGCAGCAAAATGTATATTTCAGCAGCAGTGAGACAACCACAAACACAATAACATCAACAGCCACAACTCACTCTGTCATACAGCTCAAGTATCACATGATATGCAGCTTCACCGGAACCAAACTGGAGATCCACTATTCTGTCCACTCCCAGCTGTGTAACAC